TGGAACGGGGGAAAGGAATGGTGCCCAACTTCTTGGGCGGTCGGGGATTGAACGCGGACCTGTAGGAAACGAGACCGTCGCTCTACCGTCCAGCCCAAGTGGTTAAGCGTAATATTATTAAAACAACAATTTATGCATATAATAACAGCATTTCACACTAAAAATACTTGGATATATTGAAATTTGGTAGTGAATTCCAATCTAGGAATCTCCTATGACTAAACTGTACTTTTTAATCATTTTTATGTACTTACTACTTATTATTAAATTATTAAGTACTTACTATAATAATTAAATCAATTATTTTATTTAATATTTAAATTAAATGATAAAATAATAGTTAATAATAAATCATTGTGTAGGGGGACAGGCAGCCAGTTTATATATACATGTGAGGCTTATACCAAGGTCCCACAAAGGTGCCATATTAAAGACTGGGTGCTGCCGGGGCGGGCCCAAGGGCTGCTGGCGGCCCTGATGGCCAGGCTGAACTTCCGCGCCCTTATAATCACCATTGTTCAATAATCTTCACAGGAAGAAACAACCGTAAATATAGGAATAGTTTATTACAACATACACGGTAAAGAAAATAGTTCCGAAACTAAGGAAATAAAGCTGCCGAAAAAACATTAAAGTCCATTTCAAGTATGTTTATTGAGACAATAAAAAAATACATCTCAAAGGGATAGAGTAGCTTAGATTTACTATACTGATTTACTATACTTAGATTTACTATACTGATTTACTATAACCTTAATAATGCAGTGTCATATTGCATAACTGCGTCATGCAGTATGACATTGCATGACAGTATGAGTTATGCAGTAAAATCTGCCTACCTGAGAACAGCATAATGAGCTAACGTAGAGGTACTTTTCTTAAGCTGAATTTCAAGTAAGCTGAATTTCCAGGGACACATTCTAAATATATCAAAGAAAGTTTCAGGAACTGTTGGCATTCTTTCTGAGATCAGATATTATGTACCTCGCCCTGCCCTGGTGACACTCTATTACTCTCTCATCTATCCTTATCTCAACTATGGTATTTGTGCTTGGGGTTCTACTACCGGTCGGCCGAGCGGATAGCACACTGGACTTGTGATCCTGTGGTCCTGGGTTCGATCCCAGGCGCCGGCGAGAAACAATGGGCAAAGTCTCTTTCACCCTATGCCCCTGTTACCTAGCAGTAAAATAGGTACCTGGGTGTTAGTCAGCTGTCACGGGCTGCTTCCTGGGGGTGGAGGCCTGGTCGAGGACCGGGCCGCGGGGACACTAAAGCCCCGAAATCATCTTAAGATAACCTCTTAAGAAGATAACCCAAAATCATTTACGTCCTCTAATTATTCAACACAAAGCTGCTACTAGGACAATATCTCACTCTGGCCCCAGACATCACTCGGTACTCTTACTCAAATCTCTGAATATGTTAGATACTAAGTACCTGCACATCCTCTCATGTGTATTTTATAATATATAAAACGCTGAACTGTAATGTCAATCCTGACCTTAAAAGCTTCCTTGAAGGTTGTAACAGATCCCATGAGCACCACACCAGAAACAAATACCTATCTGATATTCCAAGAGTACGACTTAGTCAAACTAGAAATGCTTTACAAATCAAGGGACCTCAAATGTGGAATGACCTTCCCAATTTTGCTAAAGACTGTACCTCTCCCAACCAGTTTAAGATAAAAACTAAGTACTACCTAATTAACTCAATGTAACCTACCTCACCCCCAAAATGTCAACCCATGTCTACTATTTTAAACAATGCTGTTTGTTGACCAAATTGTATTTTTGCTTTTCTACCATGTTTCCCCCCCCCCCTTTTCCAATTTTTTTCATATTTTTTCTCAACACAATTTATACTTTAATCTCAATTAGCATTAAGTTTTAGTCTTAATGTTTTTCCTGCCCGAAACGCTTTGCGTAATAGTGGCTTTAGGCATTGTATGTACTAGCTCTATCTATAAATCCATCAACTTTTGTATCTTACCTTGTATGTATGTACTTTACCTGAATAAATATTTGTATTTGTTGTTGTTGTATTGTATTTGTATTTTAAAAACAGATAAATTTTAGAGATAAGAGACTGAACAAGTTAACTTCTTGTCCAGTAAACGATAGACAGTAACTGAAAAATTGGGCAATAACCTATGAACCTATATCTAAGTAGGGCAGCACCCAATTAGCATGTACCCTACGTATCCACAATCTGTAGAGAAAGAGTTATTTTGGTTATTTATACATTTCTACCTGAATATGGTTAATCTGTGATACTCAAAATGGTAAGTCTGTCAATCTCCATGCATGGGAAACACATGAATGGCCTACACAGTGAGCTTATTTTTTCCTCTCTATGTCCAGAAGAGGTACGTCATGACCCAGTGTAAAGCCACCTGGCCTTACTCCTCAACTTTCCACCCTATCACATCATAGCACTGATAAGTATATATTATGGAAAATTAATGTGTGCAATTCAATGTGTGGAACTGTAACATGAGAACAGTATAACAGTGGAACATTTCTGCATGTAGCGACAACCAGTCTAGCAGTAGACAATGAGAACTCCCATCTCTTTTCGGTGGTAATAACAGCCAGGTCAGGTCCAGTGCGCACAAGGTAATCTTGTCAGATATTTTGCGGCCTTGTTAATCCGTTTGTGATTACCAGTCTACATCAAAACACATTGCAGAACTCACACGGACCACAACAGTTGTTAAAAAATAATTGAATCATAGACTGAGTGAAGAGAGCATGAGGGTTGAGTGTGTGTGGTGCATGGACCACTGGACACATGGGGAAGTACCTCAGGCCAGGTGAAGTCACCGAGATCGTAAGTACTGCTCTCTTGTCCTTGTCATGTATATTATTCAATTCTTTTTGCCTCAGTTAAGGAACCATAGTTAGGATGCCTTGCCTAACAAATTAAGTATATATTGGCGACTGATATTAAATTTGTTATGTTGGGTTTCTTTCTTCTTGTTGATAGTAGGTGCAGTTTGCATGAAGGGTTTGTCCTCCCGATGACTGCACATGTTGGGTTTCATCTGATTCGTTAGAGAGTACTGCATGAGGGCAGGGCCCAATGTGCAGCTTATACAGTCAATGGCAGTGGGGCAGTGTCTGTGGAGTACAATTGATAGCAATGAACGTAAGTCCATTGAGTGGAGTGTTGTTAATCTCATTGAGGGGGAGACTAATGTAGTCCAGAAGGCGAGGTCCAAAACTGTATCAATCATGTTTTTACAAAATATTGCATGTAGATTTTATTGGGGGTTATCAGGGCTTGGGTGTAAATTGTGCTTGACATTGCAGTCCAATGCTGGATCAAAATCCTGCTTTTAAGGTAAAGCACTGAAAAAGGCAAATGGAATACTCTACAGGTTAAATTACACAATTTAAGAAAAAGAGAAAACAATTTCTTTTAGGCATCCATAATTTTATATATACTATTTGCCTCAAAATACTGTACAGTATATGGTATAGTACACTCAATGTCAAGTTTCTTTGTCTTTATTTCCCTTTCACATGCCTTTGTTTCTTAATTTAATGGAAGGAAGGGGGGAGAATTCGTCACTTCTATGATATTTTGGTCTTCAGGTGTTTTTATCTTGTGTATTTGAAGGTATCACAAATTTATGAATTAGATTCCATATAGATTTATAGAGGGAACAGTGTCAAAGATATACAGTACTGTACTGTATACATATACAAATATTATGCTAATAAAAATGAAATGATTAAGTTAAATTAAAATTTGTTTACTGAGAATTATATAAAATATATGTAAATGTAATAATTTCCCCCCCTGTAAATTAATGTCAATATAATCTCTAAAATTGTAAATCATTTAAAGAAAAATAAGTATAACATTTAGGGGTTTAAAGTTCATGCTCTGTGATAATATGAAACACTTGTTTACTGAGAATTATACTACTGTATATGTAATGTAGTATTGCCTTGTAAAATTTATGTATATATGATTTATATTGTATTTTATTAAATACAGATAAAAAATAAATGTTACTTATACAAAAATAAAAATGCATGACTCACTTATATGAACACTGATTTGGGCTAATAAAAGTTGACTACAAATGTAATGCTATGCGTGCTAGTGGCTTTACAAGAATTGAAAACTTCAAGTGTCTGTACTCTCTTTTATTTATATACAAGAAGATACCCTCTTGTATATAAATAAAAGTAATTTTGTGTATTAAATATCAGCTTGTACAAGAATATGAAACCACTTTACTCATTACGAAGAAAATGAGAAGGAGAGAAAGTACGGTAAAATATTTTATAAATTTATGAGAAATAGTATGTGAACTGTGGATGATTTGACCATAGATGAAAATTGTCTAAACTCTTTTAGGTACCCTACCAGAAGAAAAGTAAACACACAATATGTATATCAATTTACAGTGGTGGTTGGTATGACCAGGTCATGACAAGGGGAGCCATATGGTGAGGTTATAGAAAGCCAAGTAGGAACTAAGACCTGAGCAAATTAGCAGATCGTATAAACAATGTGTGGCACTTCACTATAACATCATAATTTCATTCTGGATCAGTTTTAGTCAAAATGCTGTAGAACGCAGTTGCTGGTAGTCTGGTCATGGCTAGTGGCTGTAACAAAGTATCTGGTGGGACGGCTAGGTTAAGGCAGATCAGAAGGGGTGTTGCTTCTGACCGAGCTGTTGTGAGAATGATCTAGGTGGTGCACTCAAATTGTTTTATATCCATATCCACCCAACTCGGTTTGGACCAACAATTCACATTGATTAGTTGATGGGAAACTGCTTGATTTTGGGAATTGTGTGGACATTGTTTGTAGCACCTGTAATTCTTGCACATGAAAGTACAGTTGCTGCTACAGCAATTGGATGCAATTGCTACATATGTATAAAGAATAATGTGACTGACACCAATATCCAAGATGGTAAAGATTATTTGGAAGCATATGAAGCATAGTGATAATAGAATCCAAACATCATAAACTGAGCACATTTTATTAGCAGAGAGTATTTTGAGAAACAAAAAATACTAGCAGTAAACTACTGTTCTTATGGAGAACAATGCATGACTCTTTACAAATGCTATTAACATTATATTTACATAATACACTGTATGGAAGTAAAAATCGTCAGTATTTACATTTATGCCCATACTGTAAATACAAAACTCGGTTTCGGTTTCAGTGTACCAAATTTGGTACATTTTTAGCACCATCCAGCAAAAAAAGGACACCAACCCTAAAAGACTATTTAGCTAATACAGTATTGTACTAGTTACACTATTTTTGCCACCCAGCACTGTGCTAGTGGAACATGACATATTGGGAAGCAACAAATGTCTCTTAAACAGGCTTGTTGCCACTACAAGGAATCTGTTATTCTGATTGAAACTAGCACAAATGGCAGCTAATATACTTCAACATTTCATAATGTTACATATTTTTAAAGCTATTTAGCTTCATTAAAGTTTATTTAAGTTTCTTGGTGTTTCCTACATAACTTGTTCACACACTTTTTTATGCCTTGGAACCATAATGGCACATCCCTAGAGTTTAAACTATAACTGAATTCTAACCAGTCAACAATTTTCTAAGATAAGTAAAAAGTAGTACTGTTAAGGCTCCAAAGACTCCTAGTTTGATAAGTTTTACAGTAACAATGGCTCCAGCTCCCTCTATGGAGTGAACAATTTTATTATTGAGAATAAACACCACCTTGCTCTCTTCCAAAAGTTTCTGTCGTATATCTTCATCTATTTCTCCTGCAATGTGGTTCATGGCTTCTGTCATTTGCTTTTTAATCTTGGACACTGATCCATCAGTGATTTCTGTTACTGCCATTCCCTCCAATGTATCCTGCAAAATTAAAGTGTTATGAAATCATGGTAATGCTAATTTAAGATAGAAATCACCCAAGATGTATGTGATATTGTAACAGAATTATCAGGATGTATCTGGAGTACACCAAACTTAAAAAAGATTACATTAGAAAATGTAAGATGTTCTCATCTTACATTTTATTGTAGGCCCTTCTATAGTGATCACTTGTAATCCTTAGAGAGGACTTATAAAGGCCAAGAATTTCTTATGAATGAATCTACTCTGTTGTTGGACATTCTGGGTTGGATTCAGTGGTTTCCAGTGGAGCCTATGACCTTGCAAGGATGACTCAGAATTCCCTGGGGATGGTGCAAAACCTTTCTCCTACCTGATTGTTCATGATTTAGGTATTATATTTTACTTTATTTTCTACCAGAGGTGTGGCCATATATATATATATATATATATATATATATATATGTCGTACCTAGTAGCCAGAACGCACTTCTCGGCCTACTATGCAAGGCCCGATTTGCCTAATAAGCCAAGTTTTCATGAATTAATGTTTTCTCGACTACCTAACCTACCTAACCTAACCTAACCTAACTTTTTCGACTACCTAACCTAACCTAACCTATAAAGATAGGTTAGGTTAGGTTAGGTAGGGTTGGTTAGGTTCGGTCATATATCTATGTTAATTTTAACTCCAATAAAAAAAAATTGACCTCATACATAATGAAATGGATAGCTTTATCATTTCATAAGAAAAAAATTTGAGAAAATATATTAATTCATGAAAACTTGGCTTAGTAGGCAAATCGGGCCTTGAATAGTAGGCTGAGAAGTGCGTTCTGGCTACTAGGTACGACATATATATATATATATATATATATATATATATATATATATATATATATATATATATATATATATATATATATATATATATTACGCATATTACGCCGTAATATGGACAATTTTGTATAAAATCAGATATGTAACTGTATAACCTTGCATAATAAAGTGTACATCATAATAAATAAAAAAAAAAAAAAAAAAAAAAAGGGGGTGGTAGGAGAAGTGAACACTCTTTCGTATTCAGAGTTAAATGTCAAGTTTTTCCCTGAGTGCTCTGTGTTCCCTTCTCTGAGGCTGTGGGTCCCTATAAATGCACCAGTGGTGGTACCCCCCTATATATATATATATATATTATAATATATATATATAATATATATATATATATATATATATATAATAATGCTACCCAGCATTGTATATATATACTGTATATACATTTTATTGTCCTCCATGGACATGGATAATGGTCTGTCAGATATAATGGTGTAGCGAGTTATTGAGCCACAGAAGATGCTTGAAGTTAGCATTGTAATAGCACTCAATCACCTTATTTGTTTGAATGCTCAATTTGATTAATATGGACAAAGTGTTAAATTAGATAGTCTCACAAAGGCACCAATACACTCAGCATTTGATTCAGTATAAGTTCATCATTAAAATGTATATACTATAAATTTCTTTTGATAAATTGACAAAATGTTTCATACTACCTTTTAATATTGTGAAAACAAATGTAAAGATTAATACCAACTCAACATCAATTTCTTCATAAAGCTAATGAAATTGCTTTACCTTGCGAGAGAACCTGAGCTTTTGTAGAAGAACTTTCTTACGCCGTAATATCTGCCCACCAGAAAGGAGTCCCATGTACAAATGATAAATGTAGGCCATCAAGAGGTAAGGGTTCTCGTTTTCTAGCTTTTCTAGATGTTTCAGGTATTGACAAACACTCTCTCGTGGGGTATAATCTTTCTTCCAGTCAGCACCCAAATAATATGACAAATCCTGCAAATAAAAAAATTGCTTAAAAATTATAAGGCTTTGATTAAAAATGAAAATCTCTTTTCTGTATGATTCACTTGGTTGTTTCCTAAGCAAAGATCTGCTGTAGTTTATTGAACAGGATCAATAACTCAGGCAGAATGACATTCTTACACTGCACCTGTGTAAGAATGATCCATTGCAATCAAATACTGACCCTGAAAGATGTGTGGCCATAATTCTACCGATATGGCCATGATTTGTAAATTAACATTAAGATTTTTTTTCTAACACACTACTTTAAAAACATTTGTTAACTAAACTAGTTGAACGAATGTATCTCTAACCTTTTCAAATGCTTCAGTACGTCTAATACCAGGAATATCCAGCTCTCCAATCAGACTGTGTGAATGACGTTCAAGAGCCCCTTCAAGGTACTGGAAAACCTCATAAAATATTAAAAGACCCTCGGCCCACACACGGTCATTTGACATAGCTGTGAAAAGGGAGAAAATACTGAACATGTACAAGTTTATTGAATTTATAACCAAACATTATTTACAAAATCTAATTATGGCAAACTTGTTGCTAAAGTTCTCTTGGGGCTGCAAATGCCATACAGTGTAGAAATATTCATACCTATTCCAAGCTTAGCATTTATTAGGGTATCACTAATGTTGTGGATTTCTCTGGTAACATCTCGCATCTGCTTTGTAAAAGGAACTTCCACCTTTGCAGCCATCCTGAAATTAATTAATAAAACTTTTAAATCAATAGCTTTACCAAAAGAATATACTACTGTTCATAAGTAGTGCATGAAACATAATTAAACAGTTGTTTGTTGAACAAACAACACACTAGAAAGTAAAGGGACGACGACGTTTCGACTTGAGAATGGTCCAGGGTGGACCGAAACGTCGTCAAACAACCCTATATAACCTAACCAAACTCGACTTAACCTGCATAACCTTCCAATATATACAGATTAAAACAAATTACATGTACTTGTAAAATCGTACATAGGAGAATATATCAGAGTTGATATATAAGGTAGTAGCACCTGTTGTTTTAGTAGATTTAAGAGCCCTGACGAACCAGTCCCCGGAATGAAAACCAAATGGAAGGCTATTCTTCTTTATGGTAGGTGCAGTTGGCGTGAAGGTATTCTGCTGCCGATGAATGCACGAGTGGTGTTGATGGGAGATGAGTTACAGTGGCGCGTCAGCGTCTCTTCTTGATGGTACGTGCAGTTTGCAACACGTCGGTGTTCATGATCCCTCACAAACCTGGCGGAGTAGGTTGTTGTTGTTGATGATGATGGGTTAGGGGCAGCTGCAGCACCCGCCCGTGTGTACGATTGACACTTTATGTAGCATACGTAAATCTGTGTATTTATGTATTTACGTATGTAGCAATCTGAGAGCAGCTGTACACCGAGAACTTCAACAAGATCTTGTAGATCTGAGGCAAAGTGAAATTGACACCAGTAATTCCATCTATCATCATACTATCATGCAAGAGGAGCCACACATCTATGGATCATCCAATAAAATCAGCAGACTTCTAGATGTTACTACTGCTCGGCTTAGACTCGGTTACAAGTATCTCTGGGAATTCTCATTATCTGCTGATGTAGACCTGACCAAATGTAAACTGTGTCAACAAAATTATTCGCACACCCTCCGTCACTATGTGATGGAGTGCGAAAAGATACGTGAATTTAGAGACAATTCTATAACCAATGTTCCAGCGATGTGTCAATATTTCATTCAAAATGATCTGCTACCAGAAATTTTAGCCAAATATCCCCAGTTTGCTAACTGTAGGTAGTAACTAAGTGATTGTAACCTATCCACCGCTGCCCACTGGATGGGGGGCGGTGTGCAGGACAAACATATAAATTTTGACACTAGCTCTCCACATATGTCAGTTGCTTAATTTAGAACCTGTACTTGAGGTCGATCTCGAACCCATTGTTGATGTGATGACTTATATTGAATTTTGTAACTAGCTCATCAAGATTGTAACTTGCTTAGCTAAATGAATTGTGGGGTTCAGTCCCTGAGCCCATTATGTGCCTCTGTAACCCTTTCCACTACCGCCCACAGGATGGGTATGGGGTGCATAATAAATGAACTAAACTAAACTAACTACGTATGTAGCTTAGCCTAGCATTTTAAAAGCACTACAATCACCTTCTGTGGTTGATTATTCAATAAATCCATACACTGTATGTTTGACAAATCTCTAACCCTGTCCATGTAGGATAGAAGAAAATGTAAATATGCTGGTTAGCATTGTTAATGTATGGCGACGTCTGTGGTAGAAAAAAATATCGAGCTTGTAGTTAAAGAATCCAGACGAACAAGTAGGATGCCCTACAGGCCCGACCCGCACTGGTTACAGACGTCTATGTGTGGCCTGCAGGGAGCGGAACGTCAGACACAGGACGACGTAACGCGGTTCATCCTTCAGGCCACGGCCGCTAAGAATGGGAAATGTGAGGCGGGAATTTTGGATACGATACAGGTCGGGGCGGAGACATCTGTGCGATGTAGAACTGTACACAGTACACACCTAATTGGGCTTTCGGAGGTTGAGCTTCGGTTCTTTGGCTCCGCCTCACAACCGGCAATCAACTGATGCGTAGGCTCCTGTACGTGTTGGACTCAATCATATCTAATTTGAAACTATGGAGTTTGCCTCCACCACATTACGTCCTAATGCATTCCATTTGTACAGGGTATATTTGTTCAGTATTTCCTTATATTCAACTCATTTGTTTCCACTTTCCTCTTGTTCTGCTTTCTCTTAACTTAAAGAGGCTGTCCTTGTCCACCTTGTCTATTCCCATCAGTATTTTGTATATTTGTGATCATATCTTCCCTGTTTCTTCTGTCGTCTGTTTTTGTGAGGTCCAGTTCCTTAAATCTATCCTCACAGCATAGCTCTGGCACTAATCTATAGTTGTAAACCTCTGCACTTTTTCAGTTTTTTGTTTTATGCTTCACAGTTATGAGTTTCAGGCCGGTGCTGCATATTCCAATACTGGTCTAACAAAAGTAGTTATTTCACCTTTAGCAACAATATGATAAACCGAGTTTTTTCTTGCTCCACATCTCCATTTATAAAGTATTTTTTCACATTTTTATTACCTCGGCTTTGTATACTCTTTCACATTTGTTATTACTAATAGTTTATTTGTCAATATTGTGCTTTGTTTTTATTATTAGCTATATATTGCTTTGTTGATCTACACTGTGTAATCTTTCATATAGAATAGGGTAGCAGCACATTGCTGTGTATACCAAAGCTTGTTAATATAAAACAAAAACAAAATTGGTCATCTTAAAGATTCTCTCGACATTAATACATGAGAAGGATGAACAAAAACAATTTAATTTTCTTCAATTTATAATTCTTGCTGATATTTAATCCTACCACCACCAAATTAACACAAGTAAATAAGTAATAGCATATGATAATATATTTTCGTCAGTAAATCTCTGATGTGTTCCTTAAATAAAATAATACGTAGACTCTTGCAATGCAGTAATGAAAATACTGTACTAGATCTGGGGATCCGTGAACGGCTCCATACCTTAGCATATCTAGAAAAACTTAAATTTCAATATTTGATACATGAATATTATCTAAATATAACAATTTTACTTTCTTGGTTAGGCTTAATCCCTCATTCTAAATATGTTACTTAACAATATATTACCATATTATTGTAAACAACTGCCTCGTATAGCAATATAATATTTTTTTTGCATGTAATATTATATATCTCAATAGCTAATTTGTATCGTCATCATATAACTAACAAATTCTTCAAGTGCAAGCAAGTACACGTAAAGAATTTGAAGATTTGAAGACTAGTTTTGGGGATGTGTAATCACTTAGCAGTTTTTAACTAACAAAATATTTGTGATGTTATGAGAAATTTTACATATTACTTCTGTGTTAGTTTTTTACTTTAACTAAACTGTGTACATACAAATACAAGTAATAATCAAAACTTTACCTCCTGCATACAAATACAGCATTGCAATATTAATTATAATCTTAAAACGCTATAGTATACAGCACTGTACTATATATTTTGTGAATAAAAACAAAATATTAAAAGTATTAAAAATTCATTGCGTTCCTATATAGTACTGTATATATATATAAGAACATAAGAACAAAGGTAACTGCAGAAGGCCTATTGGCCCATACATTCATATATACCCAAAACACTGCAAGCTTTACTTATACCATTATTTAAATATAGTTCAAACAGCTGTAATTAAGCAGTAAAAAGATAACTACATACTTATTATAATTGATCCTGTCATCTAAATCTGAACATTGAAAACTAAAAAATGGAAATATATATTAGAATATAAAGTAGAGTAATATAAAGAGCAAAGTAAAATATAAAGAGTAATATTAGAATATAAGGTACAGTAAAACCTATTAAAATCAACTTCCCTAATCCAAAGTTAATGTTTCAACAAACGCCAATGATCATCATTCCGTTATTCAAATACATAAAATAAATGTAAAAATTATTCACGTGATCTATGCTCTCTACAACTTATTTGTTTTTATATTAATGGAGCAGAAGTCTTCTGACTTGTGTTTGCAGGCAAAGGTGTGCTCCCGGTGTCTCGCAGGCGTCAGGCTCCTGTTATGGTATTAGGGCACTCGAAGACTTTTTGAGTTTTCCTATCACTGATTCTGCCCTTCGGCCGCAATTTTGCGGCTGGGGGTCACTGGTTGTCGATAGTCTTCCTGCTGTTTTTTTTTTTTTTTTTTTTGCGTGGAATGGTGTCCTGCGCTCGCCTCACCCAAAGGACTACACGAGCTCACTGTAAACATCTAACAGTATACTGCAAGGTTTACTGTAGTATACTGAGTGTTTATATACTGCAAGGCACAATTGTTTTCCACCGGCCTGCAATGTGTATTGAGCCGCAAGGTTTTGCGTTTTACCGTTCTTGGGAACGCCGGAGCAACTTTAATCGTGTTTGTTACTATATAGTGAAATAAGTTTACATAATTTAAAGATTCGATGGTGCAGTGGGTGAAATACTGCCTCTCAAAATACTGTATGAAATCGAAGACTTTTTCCTTAAATCACATGTGGATCAAAAATTTATACATAATCATAAGTGGAATAAAGGCTTTTCCTTTAGTCACATGTAAAGCAAAGTATACTTTTATGTGGAATAGTCGCAAGTCTTTTATTTAAAAACTTGTTTTATTTTTGTAGCAGCATTTTTAGCTATTAAAAGTGCTTTCTCCATATCATTTGCCTTTTGAATATTCCTGTCTAGTTCTTCATATTCAGCATGAAGATCTAGATCAATTTCTTCTACCATTTTCGGAAGTTTATTAAAAACGGTACAAATATATTGCTTTGTTACTTGGCTTGAAAACTCATACTTCTGACTCTTTTCAACTTCAGATACCATGTTGTCCACAAACTGCTTGGCCGACAGTTCCTTTGTGTTTCTTGATATTTTGCTGATCTTTCTAGTGTGCAATATGATTTTCTTGATGCTTTCAGCCATGCTAAGACAAACATCATCATTTTTTTGTTCTAAATCTTTCAATGCCTCTTTTATATCTTTTACTTTATTTGATGCATTTCCATATTTTTCCTTCATATCTTCATCGGTCACTGTTATTTCAGAAAATTTTTCAACAAATGTATATTTTTCTTGGGTATGATCTTCATTACTACATTTGCAGATCTTACATTGGTCCTTCTCTTTTGGACATCCGCAAAACCAACCTCCGTCGCATGGATTTACACATGTTCTCAAACACTTATCGCAGTTGTGGCAATGACCAGATGTACTCTTCAATTCTTCCTTCTCTTTTTTGATAACTTTTTTCTTAGCAGTCCAGTTTTTGTTTTTCTCTAGATTTTCTTCGTAGTTTTTAAGTAACTCTTTTTGACTCTGTTGTTCAATAAGCATGTTTACACAGGCGTCTATGTTATTTTTTAAATTAAAGAGAGCTCTCTCTAGATACATTTTTTCTCTAATTGAATCCCTAGTCATTGTGAGGCTCACTGGTTGGGTTTGTATGAGGTCTTGACAGAAGCATTCAAATTCTTCAGCTGTATTTTCCCAAACACATTTTCTCACCAAAAATTGTCTACGGTCTTTCTTACTCAAGCTTTCACATTCCGATTGTTTGTTGGGAGCATACAGTGATCCATTCTCAAAACTGTAATCATTTTTTGCCTTGAGCCCCATTGATTCTAAAATTTTAAGAACCCGAGATTTTTCAGTTACATCATGTGTTAGCAAAATATTTGTTATGCCAGTAGTATCTTTTCCAAACAAATCATGAAATTCATCATTCATCGTATTCATATATCCCAGTTTCCTGTTGACGCTGGCTTTCATTACAAATCCAATTACGTGAAGTTCATTTACACCAAACTTCTCCTCTTCCAAAAAGTGCTTAATTTGCTGGACTACTTGTGCCTGTTGTTGAGCGCCTCTAGTGTCTGCTAGCCCTGGGGTGTCAATGATCAGAAAGTTACACTCGTGTTTCATCACCCTAGGATCGTGATAAACTAAATATCCGGTTACATATTCTGTTTGACTCTCTGTCACATCCTTCATTTTGTTCCCTGTTGCATCTTCAATCTGATAGCGTATATCGCTATCAAACTCGATTCCGAAGAGATGATTGATAATAGCATTGAGAAAGGTCGTCTTCCCTGATCCGGTCTCCCCAATGAGCACAAGTGATTTGATGGGTCTGTCTATCTCCTCTCCAATGGTCAGGATTTGGATCTTGTTACTCTCATCTATAACTCGTTGTTTTGTTTCCAGTTTGGAGATTCTAGGATGTATATTTTGAGGTGAACAGTCAGCCTCCACTACTGTATTCATTTTGTATGGAGCTGTCTGAAAAAAATAAAGATCTTATATATAATTTACATAAAGTTTATTTTTTTAAATACAAATACATGTTAATCTTATTTTACTTCAATTTACATCAATTATAATTACAGTATAACAAAATTCCAGATCGAATTTGTTAATTATTACTACTCGTCCACAACATAAATACTGCTGCAATAACAATAATTTAATAACTTTATTCATAATTGTATGTTTTTGTACATTTATAGTTGGTTAGTTTACAGAAGTTTACAGTGAACTATTTACCGAAGAGAAAGTCATAATAACAACATAACATGAAATATCTGACGATGAGAATACAATTTAAAGGACTAATACAAACTAATTCAATGAATTTATACAAAAAAATTCACACCCTCAGCACTCTCAATCAACAGATTCTAGGGGTATCCCGGATCAAAATCACTCCCAACATACAGTTCATGCAACACTGATTTTACTTGAAGAGTACTCAAAATGCCTGACAGTAATCCATCTCTTTGTGACAGCAGTTCCTTCAAAAGTCCAATTACCCAGCTCGAATCACCTCATATGTTGAGGCCACGTGAGTAATACAAATGCAAACAAACTTGAATGGCCCCCAAGTCCATATGCAACCGAAAACTCCTCACCTTTGAAGGATTCGACCCTAGACAGTCGTTTTCAGTTGTATATTGGATTGGGGACCATTCAAGTTTGTTCGCATTTGTGTTACTCACGTGACCCCAACATGTGAGGTAATTCGATGAAATATCTGTGCCTGTGCTTATCGCCCAATACCCGATAGCACTAGGTGGTCAGAAATCAGAAATCGTTTTCATCAAATCAATTCACTATAGAGAAGAACTCGAATCTCAATTGTAACCACAAACTTGCATAAACCACAAGCCGAATGTATCAGTAAGACTCCTCGCCATGAAAAGTTTGAACCTTAGACTGCCAGGAGCAATGAAACTACTGACAAGCCCAGTATCTGACCACCAGAGTATTCAAGTACTATATTGAATAGTCGAGGACTACGCAATACTTATCCTGCGCTCCAAGACTTGCCAGGGAGCACAAAGATGAGTTTCCGGTTGTCAAACCAGGGCTATACTGTACGTTGTTGTTGCTGTTTTAAATTCAGCTACTCGGAACAAAAGTTTTGAGTAGCACAGGTTATGGTGAGGCCGTAGTGGCCGTACCTGGCACAGGAGCGGGGCTATATTTTGTGGGGCAGGAGGGGGGGGGGAGGCTATACTGTTGTTATAGATTCAGCTACTCGGAACACGTTCCAAGTAGCACGGGCTATGATGAGCCTGTAACTTACCTGGCACAGGAGCGGGGCAAGTAGCACGGGCTATGGTGAGCCCGTAGTGGACTTACCTGGCACAGGAGCGATGCTGTTGGGGCTATACTGGGCGTATTGGTACCATTAGGGGGGGTCAGGTACATACAAATAATAGGTGTAAAGGGTAAAGAATAAGGCGATAAAAGGGGGGAAGAGCACATACGGCTATTCATTCCCGTGAATACCTCCCGCAGTTTCAGCCCCGCTCCTGTGCCAGGTAAGTTCTCCATGGGCTCACCATAGCCGGTGCTACTTGGAACTTTTTGTTCAGAGTAGCTGAATCTAAAACAACAACAACAACATGCCCGTGCCACCTCTTGGGTAGTATAATCTTCATCAGTCAATCACATACAAGATTAATCGGGTGTTGTGGGCGTGAGCAGTGTAGTCACCGTGGTGTTGTGGGCGTGAGCAGTGTCGTCACCGTTGACGTCGTCACGTTCTAGTCTTGTTCTTACTCTCATGGAGGGTAGAGTGAATTGTCCCGTTATTTTATAACGGAACAATTATTATAATAATTTATATTAAAAATTCCGTTATTATAAATATTATAAATAACGGAACTAATATTCGGGATATTAGATGACTCACACTCAATAGATAATTCTTGCAAGACAAGCTAGATGGGCGACCACGCCCATAGGAATTATGTTACTGCATTTTATCACTATTTCTGCATCAGTTTATCCTAACTGAAAAATATATGGAAGGAAGCTATTTCAGGGCACGAATGATCACATAATCACATAATGCAACATTTACTCCGCCACTTACTTGTACACAATTGGTATTCTCACGACAGTATGCTAAGCCAGACTGCCGCAGGGCAAGATGGAGCCTTATAAGTACCGCCACGCGCTAATTAACCGATTGCGCCACTGGGTGGGGGGGGGGGAGAAATAGCCTAAGCTACTCTATCCCTTTGAGATGTATTTCGTTCTTATCTCAATAAACATACTTGAACTTGAAGATGGATCTTCCGGAGGTAGTCGCTATCATTATTGCGACGTACCACTATCTAGTGTCAAAGCGGAACCACTGCAAGTTTTTTATATTTTAGTTTTGTTTCATTGTGTTTAGGTTATTAGAGTTTCCTCTATTGTTATCGTACTAAAAAGACTGCTATTGTCATAGGTTTTTTGTATATTAGTCTTCGAGAAATTATTTAATATTGTTCACTGTGAAAATATTCTTCTGCTCAACATAGATTTTGATAATGCAGGCTAATAGGGAAGACGCGAATTTCATGTTCTCTCCTGATTCCATATATGACTATCTTGTGAGATAAGGACATTATATAAACTCATAGCTAGCTTTTGCTCTACATTGTGTAATCCTTCATACAGAATAGGCTAACACCATGTATACAATGCTGTGTGTACCTAAGCTTGTCAACGAAGACTGTATTATCGAAAAACTTGTCAACACTGATGACGTCGAGGCTTCAGTAAATTTATTATACACTCTGTAGACTTTCCTCTTAAATTTGAGGCAGTTGATAGTATTGTGTGCTATCAGCGTGCATGATAAACATATGAATTGTTACATGTTCTCTACATATGTAAGTTCTTAATTTAGAAACTGTACTTGTCTCGGTACAGGTACGGAACTGGTTGGTCTCGAGCCCATTGATGAAATGACGACGTGTATTGCATTTTGTAACTAGCTCATCAAGATTGTAACTTGCTTAGCTAATTTTTTTTCTTGCAATGTACCTGTTGTATTTTATATACTTCACTAGAATTTTCCTACTTATAATTATCTATTAGATTAAGGACCTGCCCGAAACTAGTGGCTTTACAAGAATGTAAACATCATGCTATGTATCCTCACAAACCCATTGTACATTCTTGTATATAAATAAATAAATAAATTGTGGGGTTCAGTCCCCAAGCCTATTATGTGCCTTTGTAACCCTTTCCACTACCGCCCACAGGATGGGTAGTGTATATAAGCCTCGGTGCATAATAAATGAACTAAACTGCCACCAAACTCTCACAAGTCAAGTCTGGCCTCGGGCCGGGCTTGGGGAGTAGGAAAACTCCCAGAACCCCATCAATAAGTCCTCAGGGCTGTGAGATTGATCGTTACTTGCAAAATAGGTAACGATATTCCGTATCACAGTCAGGTCGATACAAATCACAGCATTCTGTCATCCTTTACAGACGACCCAAAAACAGACTGGAAATTATTTACGTAGCTCATACTGCATGCGTAAAGAAAGAAATTTATGTTTATCACCCAGAATGTTTGTTAATATGTTGATTTTTGTGATGTTTATTTATATACACATGATGTGTGTGTATATATATATATATATATATATATATATATATATATATATATATATATATATATATATATATATATATATATATATATATATATAATATATATATATATATACACCTGGAATATAAGCCTGGATACACGTATGGAAATGTCAAGACACATAAGCCTGGAAACCCACTTCGGCTAATCATTAGCCAGATACCCACACCCACGTACAGACTGGCAAAGCGACTCAACGGCTTGCTGACTCCTTATGTCCCTTGCACCTTCAGCCTGAAGTCTCCAAAGGAATTTGTTGACTTACTGCGGGGAACACGGGCCATAGGGATAAGAGCCTCGTTGGACGTAGAATCACTGTTTATCAACATACCTGTGGATGAAACAATCAGGATGATGGCGGACAGAGTGTATCGTGATCCGGCCTGTATTCCTCTTGACATACCAGAAAACATTCTAAGGAAACTACTCCAAGCTTGTACTAAAGAGACACCCTTCTTGAGCCCGGATGGGCACATGTATAAGCAAGTAGATGGGGTCGCCATGGGTTCACCCCTAGGTGTCCTGTTTGCGAACTTCTACATGGGTACCATCGAACAAAAGGTCTTAGTCGACATGAACTTGAAACCGGCCATATACTGCAGGTATGTTGACAACATTTTTACACAGGTACCTGATGTCAGACATCTGCAGGAGCTGAAGGAGGCATTTGAGCGGAATTCTGTGTTGCGTCTCACTTACGAGATGGAGAAGGATGGGAAGCTGCCCTTTCTAGATGTAACAGTCATGGAAAGGAGCGGAGGTTTCCACACTGCAGTCTACACTAAGGAAACAAACATAGGAATGTGCCTCAATGCCAGCAGTGACTGCCCGGACAGGTACAAGAGGAGTGTCGTTAACGCGTATGTCGACCGTGCTCTCAGCCACAGCTCAGGATAGCAGCAAGTCGATGAAGAACTCTGTAGGGTAAGGCAGGTCCTAGTCAACAACAGCTTCTCCAATGGTTTTGTTGAAGACATCATAAGAAGGAAGGTGAAACGCCATGCAACCTCTGAAGAGACAACTAACACAACACCTGTACCCCCTATCAGACTATTTTACATGAACTTCTTTTCCACAGCTCATAAAACGGAGGAAAGGGTCCTGAAAGATATTGTTAATAGAAATGTTATCCTTACAGACAAAAATCAGAAGATACAATTGACGATCTACAAGAAAACGGCCAGCCTACTCATGAGAAACTCTCCAGACACAAAGCAGAACGCTTTAAAAGAGACCAACGTCGTCTATGCCTTCAAATGCCCACTTGGGGACTGTAAGCCTCAAAGAATTCAGTATATAGGTAAGACAACAACATCTCTTTCCAGGCGATTAACGATGCATAAGCAACAGGGCTTCATTAAGGAACATATAATCTCTTCCCACAACCAGACCATCACCAGAGAAGTCTTAACAAAAAACACGGAAATCATCGATAGATACAGCGATAGCAGGCGGCTAGATATCTGCGAGGCACTACACATTAAGAAGTCGACACCAGCAATCAACAGCCAATTAATGCACAACTATATTCTACCCACTTCAAGACTCTGCACCAATATTGAAGCATCAAGAAATATGGGCCAATAGGCCCTTTGCAGTTACTTCCATTCTTTCCTTTAACTTACAAAATATTATACCCATTGTTTCGTGTTCTGTCTTGTGTTGAAAGTTTGTTTTCACCTCATCCAAAACTGTTGTAACATATCACCTCACCCAAATGCAGGTATAAAAAATCGAAGCTGTTTAAACTCTGTTCAGTTATAGTTGTGTGTGTGTGTGTAAACTAAAGTCTTTGAAAATGTAATAAGTTTTACGAAACGCGCTCAAGCGTCGCGTCAGACTAGAAATAAAAATGAATTTTGGAGAATCGATTTTTCAGTTACCATCAACGGTGAAAAAAATATAAGAAACATTGAGAAAATTCGTGTTAGAATTATTAATCTTACTTTTTCGGTCATATTTAATAATATATATATAATATATATATATATATATAGACAAAACCCAAGATTATATATATATATATATATATGTGTGTGTGTGTTCATATATCTGCCCGAAAAATATGAACACGTACTGAACGGGGTATGAATAGCTTATCATCATTCAGCAAAAATCTGATATCAGAACTATAACAAACTCTGTCTTCAGATAACACGCAGCCCCTCTGTTTAAGTCCCTCAACATGCTAAACATACACTCACTCCGCACATTATCGTGTGCTATCTACATGTACAAAACATTGTTCCTAAATGTTAATCTTCATCTGAAACTTTTCCTTGATAGGTGTAATAGAACGCATTAGCACCACACCAGAAATAAATATTTCTTTGATATCCTCAGAGTCAAACTAAATCTATGCAGACACTCCATGCAAGTAAAAGGGCCCAGTCTTTAGAACTCACTCCTTGATGAATTATAAAATTGTCCAACTTATGTCCTATTCAGACACAATGAATTAAAAGTAAAACCAAAAAAGAACATAATTCATGCTCATAGTTTCCGACCTTGTGCTTCAAATTCACACTGTATCTTGTGCTACTCACTTCCCCATTACAGTATTAATATATATCCTTACCATTGTAATCACCTCTGTCAACTTATATTGTAGTTATTTGTTGATATTAAACCTTGCTACAATGTACCTTTTCATCTTACCTGATATGTTAGATTAAGGACGCCATGCATGTTAGTACTCACCTAATTGTGCTTGCGGGGGTTGAGCTCTGGCTCTTTGGTACCGCCTCTCAACTGTCAGTCAACTGATCTACAGGTTCCTGAGCCTACTGGGCTCTATCATATCTACATTTGAAACTGTGTATGGAGTCAGCCTCCACCACATCACTGCCTAATGCATTCCATCTGTTAACTACTCTGACACTGAAAAAGTTCTTTCTAACGTCCCTGTGGCTCATTTGGGTACTCAGTTTCCACCTGTGTCCCCTTGTTCGCGTACCACACGTGTTAAACAGTTTATCTTTATCTAACCTGTCAATTCCTCTGAGAATTTTTGTAGGTAGTGATCATGTCTCCCCTTACTCTTCTGTCTTCTAGTGTGGTGAGGTGCATTTCTCGCAGCCTTTCTTCGTAACTCATGCCTCTTAGTTCTGGGACTAGCCTAGTGGTATATCTCTGAATTTTTTCAAGCTTCGTCTTGTGCTTGACAAGGTACGGCGCCATGCTGGGGCCGCATACTCCAGGATTGGTCTTACATATGTGGTATACAAGGTTCCAAATGATTCCTTACACAGGTTCCTGAAGGCTGTTCTGATGTTAGCCAGCCTCGCATACGCCGAGGACTTCATCTCCCATTCTGTATCCTGTGTCTGGCCTCCTGTTTCCACTGCCTAGTTTCATTACCTTACATTTACTCGGGTTGAACTTTAATAGCCATTTGTTGGACCATTCATGCAGTCTGTCTAGGTCATCTTGTAGTCTCATACTGTCTTCCTCCGTCTTAATCCTCCTCATAATTTTTGCATCATCAGCAAACAATGAGAGGAATGATTCTATGCTATCTGGAAGATTATTTACATATATAAGAAACAGTATGGATCCAAGGACTGAACCCTGCGGTACCCCACTGGTGACGTTTTGCCAATTTGATACCTCACCCCGCACAGTGACTGGCTGCCTTCTGTTGAAATTGAAATTGAAATAAGTTTATTGATGTAAAATACACACAAAAGGATGAGGTAGCTCAAGCTATTCTCACCCCGTTCAGTACATCGTGTTAATACATACATATACACACATCACAGACAATAAACATATTACCAAACATTGAGAGATAAACATCTACATTTCCTCCTTTACACAAGTAGTATGGTATCAGACGTACACACAAATACTTTTATGTGCCTTCTGTTAGTTAGGTACTCCCTTATCAAATGGAGTACCATCCCTTTCACTCCTGCCTGCACCTCCAGCTTTCGCACTAGTCTCTGGTGGTGTCTGCCCACCCCTCTCTTTCTTGCCTGATCGTAGAATTCAATTAATCCTGTGAGGCATGACTTGCCATCCCTGAAACCATGTTGATGTTGTGACACAAAGTTCCTTCGCTCCAGATGTTCCACTAGCTTTTTTCTCGCAATTTTCTCCATTAGCTTGCATGGTATGCAAGTTAGGGACACTGGCCTGTAGTTCAGTGCCTTCTGTCTATCCCCCTTCTTGTATATCGGGACCACGTTTGCCGCCTTCCAAATTTCTGGCAGTTCACCTGTTACCAGTGATTTGTTATACACCATGGAGAGTGGCGGGCACAGTGCTTCTGCTCCTTCCTTTAGTATCCATGGTGATAATCCATCCGGGCCTATAGCCTTTGTCACATCCAACTCTAGCAAAACCTTCCTTACATCTCCACTAGTAATCTCAAATTCCTCTAGTGGTGGCTGGTTAATTATTCCCTCTCTTATCTCTGGAACTTCTCCTTGCTCTAATGTGAAGACTTCCTGGAATTTCATATTGAGTTCCTTACACACATCTTTGTCATTTGTAGTGAATCTGTCTGTCCCTATCCTCAGTTTCATTACCTGTTCCTTCACTGTTTTCTTTCTCCTGATGTGGCTGTGCAGCAATTTGGGTTGGGTCTTAGCCTTGCTTGCTATGTCGTCTTCATATTGCCCTTCTGCCTCTCTTCCCACCCTGACGTATTCATTCCTGGCTCTCTGGTAACCTTCTCTGCTCTCAAGTGTCCTGTTATTTCTATACTTTCTCCATATAGTTTCTCTACAGTAGCTTTGTATAAATGTAAAAATACCAATCTTGTGTGATCTCATCAACCCATTGTACCTTTTTGCAAATAAATTATTATTATTATTATTATAGCCTGAGCTACATCATCCTTTTTTTGTATTTATACCTAATAAACATATTTAAATTTAATTTTCAACTTCTGTAGAAGACAGTGAAAACTACAAGTCAATATTAATAAAGTCTTCGATTGGGTAACGGAAAACAACATAATGTTTAACAGTAATAAATTCATAACTTAAAAGAAATACAGAGAACAAGATTCAGACAGATCTCCTCATAGTAGGAAAACAACATGTAAAGAATTTTGAAATAAAGATGATGTCTGACGACCTAAAGTTTAGTAGGCATAACCAAACTCTGAATCCCGGACGGGACAGAACACGTTGGGCACATTTTCTTTCACCTAATGCTTCTGTTCACTTAGCAATAAGTAGGTACTCAGGTGTACTAAGTAGGTAACAGTTTGTCAGCTGTTACGGGTTATTCATTCCCGTGCCACCTCTTGTTTGGCTTAATCTTTATCAAACAATCTTGTCAGTTTATTGTGGGGTTGCATGCTGGGCGGGATCAGTAATTCTACTTTGTGAAGGGCACCTCGATATAAACCTAACGTGCATGAATGTCATCTGGCTTCCTGTCCCCCGACAATGAATTATTATTATAATAATTATTATTATAGTATTGTGATTCCGCATGGCGGGTGTGTTGTTGTGAGGCGTCGTCACCTGCCACCGCGACGACCATCCAAGTCACCCACATACATGGAAGCGATGCTCACCTGTTCCCAGCTTTTTTTCAAGAAGAGTATTATAGTTTAGGGTAGCTTAGATAATTGTTTACGTATGATATGTATAAGATATAGTTACAGGAACGGTAATTGTTGGCGATTTGAATGTGAGGCTGTGTTAACACGGTGTGAGAGGATGATGGTGACTTGGTCTGGGTCTGCACCTGTCGCTCCAAGGAAACTCAAGACTACTTTACGTATCTTATTGTAACTGAAAGATGACAATGAAGACAAGAAGCATCAGTTATCATAGCTAGACGCTCGTGCTGCGTCAGGAAGTTAACAGTTTCCCTGTCACACTCGCCTCGTGTTAAATACAAGAGGGACAGGAGAGTCGCTGGTGGCTGCGTCATCTGACTTACACGGCACCGGTAGGGCAACAATGTTGAATTCAGTTTTTTTTATACTCCTTTGGTTTTTACCATCAATTATCAGTATTTTACTTTTTGATTACAATGCAACAATTCCATTCTGAAATGCTATGCAGTTGTTTGGAATGTGAATCATTAGTATTTGTTATGCATCGTAAAGCAAAACTGTCGATGTCATACACACGAAAATTTGTGTATTTATTCCAAGAAAGAACAATATACCTCTCTGAAAGAGACTGTTTCTCCTGAGGTATCATCTCTTTCATTACAAGAGGGTACTTAATCTTTGTGTGTTAATAATTAGGCCTAGTATAAAAAAAAAATCCAAACATCCTGAAATGTTTCTTAAATTGGTTTAGCATGGATGTGACATGAACAAGTGCCAGGTTTATTAATTGTTGGCTTTGTACATATATATGTATTTATAATAATGAAGACTGTATATGATTATGTAGTAATTATGTAGCAAGTATTTACCTTTTTTCTAAATATAGTTTCCTGTTTACTTCTTTCTCATGAGGTTGTGGGGGTTTAGCATGGGTGGCTCGGAATGAGTGGGGCACACCTACGTTGTGCCTATTTTCCTTCAAGCAATTGCTTGTTGCACCAATAATTTCTCTTGGGTTTCCTCTCATTGTTGTGTTTGTCTGACTCCATGATCTCCTTGCCTCGTAGAGTAAGTCAGATTCTGACTCTGGCTCTGGTAGGAGACGAATGGGTCTTGGAGACCTGGTGTGTTGGGGGTAACTCTTGGTGGTACCAGAGCTACGCTTGAGGAGTTTCTGGGGCCCCTCCACAGAATAGGTGTTTAATTGCATTTAATGCTGAATTTGTTAAAAGGTCTCTGATATGTAAATTTAATATAATTTTGGTTTATCTTTAAGGCTGTCTTTTAAATTAGTTTATATTATTATTTATGTAATATGTATTATTTGTTTCAGACTATATATATCCATCATGGCTACCGAGGACGAGGTAACCTTATTGTTTGAGCGACATTCTGTGGTGCAGGTGCAAGATATTTTAAGAAATACGCGTGGTAATATTGAGTGCAAAAAGGAAGATTTGCGAGTTATGGTGGGGTAAGTGAGTGTGCATCTGTCCCATTATTGATCTATGACCTATTTTAAGTGCTATAAATGTTTTTAGCTATAGCTTAATTCATATTTGAAATGCTTGAAGCTGTTCTGTAAGTACAATTTAGTAATTACTCTTAAAATTGTGATAAACATATTCTCTTATTTTAGAGAGAGATACAGGGATTTAATAGAAGCAGCAGACACCATTGCTGAAATGCGTGATAGTGCTGAAGCTATCTGTGATAATATCAAGACTATGGAAGGTCTCTGCGAGAGCCTTCAGCAACGGGGTCTTATTGGATTTAAGACACAGAGCCAACAAAATAATGGACTGGACAGGTATGTGTTCTTATCCCAGTAATGAGGACCTGTGTTAAAATTTCATAATTACATTTTTACATTTTAATTCAATTTTAATTTAATTTTATTCTGGGATATCCCAGCATTCTTACTAGCCACATTGGAAAGAAGCTTAAACAGTCAGGGCAGACCAGTATTCTTCTCTGACACAGCAAATAAAATAAAATAAAATAAAATGTTTATTCAGGTAAAAGTACATACTGTACATAGAAGATGAGTTACAAAAAGGGATCAAAGAGATTACAAGCAGGGAATTTTTTAGCATCCTTGCCAGGTCATTCTGGTGACATGGACATAATGCAGAAATTTTCAATTCAGCTTGGTTATCTTGCAAATATTCATTAATAATCACCTTAAATCCTTCATCTAATAGGAAGAATATATAGCACTAGAGGATTGTTAGAATTTATTATGACATACAAATTTAGTTATTGGTAACGAATCTTTCAGGTATTCAACATCTGGCTCACATTATTCTGTAGCAGTACAGGTGAAGTTGCTGGTGAGAGTTCCAGAGGTATTGTGGGATCTCACAGAACACTCGCAATATTTGCCTGCAACCCAGCTACTGCTTTTGGCTCACAACACTCACACAGCATTGCAGTTGTCTCCCACTGCTGATAAGGTATTTGAGAAACAATGAGGATATGAGTGTATATATGACTTTAGTTCAAAATTCATGTTTCCAGTGCAGATAAGATTTTGAGGTATCAATGTGGGTTCTTAGGTGTACAGTGCAGTACTTACATGTATATCAGCCTTTTCCAAGTGCTAATGTGGTACCTGATGAGTAGTTTCAGTGCTAGATATGTCTGCTACAAGTACTAATAGGGTATTTGATGATCAGTAAGAGACCTTTGGTATATAGTATACTAGTTGGGGAACCAGACCACACACTAGAAGGTGAAGGGACGACGACGTTTCGGTCCGTCCTGGACCATTCTCAAGTCGATTGTGACATGCTTTTCTGGTTGATTCATATTATATGTGAGAGAAGAGGAGTTTGAGTGACTGCATAAACCAATAGAATACCAAGTTTATTGCTATCTTTTCTTGTTATACTTCAGTTAACTGGAAGTAGCTTCATGACCTATGATATTACGCAAAGAAGACTTATTGTAATACAGTAATTGTAATACAGTCAGAAGCATATTCATATGATAAAAATCTTGCATTTGTTTTCATTATTCATTTTTTTAAGATAGATAAAGGAAATTAAGGACATAATTGTGGTTTTGAACTGGAGAAAATGTTGTTCTATTAGTTAATTGTAGGCAGTCACATTAAGAAATGTTTAACATGCCCCATTTTTTTTTTTAGGTCTTTACCTGGTTTCCAGTTATTGAACGTCAGTGGGCTAGCATTACACAATTCCGGAGCACAATTGTTCGTGGCTGTTCAAATCTTATTAGCTCTGAGGCTGATAATGTTCAAGTAAGTTGTAAAATTTCTGACAAAGGACAGTTACAGTACAACCTCGATTCAACAAACTTTATGGAAACAAACTCAATTCAATACAGTGAGGGATTCGTTGCAACTGGAGATGCCTCCAGGATGCATTTCCAACAGTATTGGCTGATTTCACGTAGCAAAATTTAAATTTCAACCTATAATATACAACTACCAAATGAACATGTCTGCAAATTTTTTTTTACCATATCTAGCTTATTTATCACATCCCCAGCCTCAAAACATTTTCAAAAGGTAGCAGGACCATACCTGAGTGAACAAAAACCTTCCCAACTCATAATGAAAAGAAACCATAGACTTTGGTTTTGAATAAGAACATAAGAGCATACATAAGAACATAAGAACAAAGGTAACTGCAGAAAGCCTATTGACCCATACGAGAATATTCTCAATAGCTTTGCCAAGGCTCCAACTTTTTCTTGTAATGTGGAGTCCATCTAAAAAATCATCTAAAACATGATCGGAGCTACGTTAAGAGAGTTACCATTCATAGCCTAATATTTCCCCACATTCTAATGTTGTTTCACTGGCTGTTTCACTGAGCAAAATTTTAATTTCAACCTGTTATATGAAGGAGAACTACCAAGAGAACCTGTCTGTAAAGAGATATAACTACATCTGGCATATTTCCCATGCCCAAGTCTTGAAACCACATTTTCAAAGGAAAAAAGAAAGATCCATATTTGTGATCAAAAACTGGGGAATCTCAAAATTAATATGAACCATAGAATTTGGTTTTAAATATGCTCAGTGGCTTTTCCAAGGCCCCTTATCATTTCTTGAAGTGTTGCCTCCATCTGTAAACTCGGTCCCGACATCCTAAGCAAATCCACACATGCCCCACTTCAGTGAACTCTTGTTTGTCAAATCAAGTGAGTAAATATGACATGGAAAGTGTTCCAACTGGATATTCGCTGAGTCGAGGTTTCACTGTATAGTATATGACAACCATAATGATGTATACTTTATTAACTCGTTCTTCACATTTTATTGAAGTCTGAAGTGAATTTATTTATTTATGTATATGTCTATATATTTACAGTATATACTTTAGTACATTAAGCCTAATAAAAAACCAGCATTGAATGTAATGAAGCGTCAATTTCTGGGTGAGCCCTGGAGCCTCCCTGAAGTTACTATATCAGCATAGTAGCTTCAGAGTGTCATGAGGGGTTTTCCCCAGAAAGATCATTTATATGGGGATTTATGTGACTGGTAAAATACTTTTATTTGACCACACATATATCCTTTAGTGAGATGTCTGGTCAGTAATTAAAGTTGCAATAAATTGAAATGATAGTATACATTATTCTTCAAATATAACTTACTTTACAGGCTGTATTAGATGCAGTGGTGTCAGTCATGCTCGTTGAAAGCTGTAGCTCTGCTGAGGCGCTCTCCCGGGTCCTCCACCTACGGCACGCTGCACTTATGGCGGCACTAGCACCCAGACCATCAGCCACTGCTAAATCCCAAATTACTCAATTTACCACCTTATTTATAGCTTCCCTGAATATTGTTCATGCTGTATTTGTGGGTACGTACAGAAGAGGTATAGATATATTGAGGGTAAGTACAGATTCCCTATAGATGCTGAGAATAAGCTATGTTAATGCAGCTGGAAACAAATGATCCAGATACATATGAAATACAAAGGAAGTGACAGCAGTTCAGCGAGTCCTGGACCCTTATCAAGTCGAGTTTCGACTTGATCAGTGTCTAGGATGGCCAAAATGCCTTCACTTTCCCTTTCCCTCTACAGTATATATGTATATGTGGGTTGAGTTATTTGCTTATACTGTAGATGTATTGAATGTGTATCACTCAAAAAAATTTTGAGTAACTATATATAATATTGAATTTCATAAAATTGCACTGTTACACACTGTTTTCTTAATGTTACTACCAAGATACAGAGAAGAGTGAAGTGTTTATACTTGATGTGCTTACAGGGTCAAGCATCAGCTCCTGAGTGTCACCTCTCAATAGTAATTTAATACTATGACTGTTCACTTGTTTTGGTCATATTTACAGTTGAAACTTTTCTGGAGTTAACTTCAATCATTTCCTCTTTCAATCCAGTTCACTTGTTTATAACTAATGCTGAAGAGCTTGTTTCTGAAATCTCCATGACTCATTGTGTCAGTTCTGCTGTTCCATACTTTGAGCAATGTTCATTTGTGTTTTGTCAGTTCTCCTTAGAAATTTTTATCATTATCTTGTCTTCGTTTTCCTATGTTCATTCAGTTTACATTGCTTACTATGTGTGTTAGATTATCATTTACAGTGAATTGTATGTGTGTGTATGTGTATGCAACAGAAGGAGAAGATGGGAAGAGTCTGCTTGAGAAGCGGTTGAAGGAAGTAGTCCAGGGGGAGGGTGATGGAGGCTCCCCCATCTCCCTCTTGCAAGAATCCTCACTCACTTTGTCATACCTTCCACAATCCACCAGACACTTTAGGTAATGATTATTGGTTTATTATCCTTATAATAATATTTATTAATTTGTGTGTGTATATATATAAAGTACTGTACAGTATATACATTCACTTGTCCACACCTGGAATAAATAATTTACTTGTAGCTACTAAATGAAAGGTATTTTAATTGCATTAAACGTGACTATTATTTTATTTTTTGAATAATTTCAATATTAGCTGCTCTTGGAGTGTGTGTAAACAGGGTAAGCATTATGACTTCTGCTTTCAGACCCACAATCCACGGCAACACAAAACCTCTTGGGAACGAGTTTGTTAAACGGCAGGTCACCAGCTGGTTGAACAAGGTGCTATATGAAGCCTCAAAAACTTTAGCAACATTGCTTTGTAAGTTTAAATATATGCATAATAGATTGGTTTATACACATTATTTGGATAAGCTGACATCAATTTATAACAAGTGAAAAATGGTCAATAAAAATGTTGAAAATAAAATCATGTGCCACCCAACAGTGTCTTACCTTAAGTGACAGTTAAATGGTACTGTGTTGCTCAGAACAGTACATATCATATATACTCAATCCCACATGACTTGTAATTTTAGCTTTGCTGATATGAATCTTGTTGCTGTACTTTTAAACTTGTATACAAACTATTTGTTGGTTGTGCAAAAGTTAACATTTAATGAACATCAATTGATTGTTACTTTAATTTACATCAGCTCTCTGCTTACCTTCTATTTATATATTTTTGTTCTCAATACAGTACAGTACATGTATTCTTAGCATATTACAAAAATCTATTCAGATTAATTATTAATTAATGTAAAAATTACCTGATGAATTAGGTATTATTATTATTGTTATTACATTATTTTCAGCATTTACCACAAGTATCAAGGCACTGGCACTGATCAGGTCCAGTGTGTGGGAGATCTGTCAAGCCAGATTAGAGAGAGAACAATGGGACAAGGTGAGAAAGAACTGTCTTGATATTATGTAGTTATACTGATATCTTTCAGGATTTCATTCATGCTAACTTTCATTTGGACCAAATCTGACTACATTTTCCTGGAATGCCATCTCGATATTGAATGTGTGATGCCAAATTTTAAGTTGTTGACTAAGATGTTATCTTAAGCGATACCTGTACCAGTTGATTTTTTTCATATTTTGCATTAAAGTATGTACAGTATTTATGAAATATACTTTTTGTATTATGTATTCAGTGCTCAATATAAAATAAACAATTTCAGATCACTGATGTTCTATATGGGGCACAGTTTGACCCATGGGACTCAGTTGTTCAAGGCCAGGTGGCAGAAAGGGCCCGACAAGTTGTCGCATCCCAGCTGACAGCATCCAAGGAGGCAATTGTTCAGAAGGTGTCTAGGCTGATAAAAGATATTGCATCTGATCCCAAGTGGGTATATCGTGTATTTTGTATTTATTCAAGTAAATTAAGGTTTTTATAGTTGATAATGTCTGAAAGTTCTTGTCTATCCAGTACAGTATGTACTGTTATAAATAGAATTATAACTGTACTGTATTTAATATCTAAAGTGCGGCTATGGATATTCACCCATGTCCACCCACGTGCAAAAATTTTAAAAAATAAAATAATAAAAATTTCCTTATAGATTTATTTATTTGATGTAAAATGTAAGGAAACATTGAAATAATGTAAATACATATTTACTGGGTAGGTCAGCTGGCTGTCAGCTGTCTTGCTGACACAGCAGCATGTGGCAGAGGACTTCAGTGTTGACCTTGGATGTTTCTATGACTACTACTTCACTTTTTTGTTCATTCACTATAGTATTTGTGTTAAAAGTAGATTCATGGGCATGTAATTTACAAGAACATGGATTGAGTACATTACTAACTATGTACAGTATAAGGATAATTTAGTTAGGCCTAAAATAAATGTATGAATGAGTGAATGTATGTATTTAGATATGAACAGCTATGTATGTATGTATACAGTATATGCATGCATGCGTTATGTATAAATATTTATATATGTATGTATGTACAGTACAGTATTAATATTGATATAAGAACTAAGCTGACTGCAGAAGGCTTGTTGACCCATATGAGGCAGCTCCTATTTATACAGCTGTCTCCTCATATGAGCGAATAGGCCCATATATGATGAGTTTGGGTCTACATAAATAGGAGCTGTTATGTATGGGACAATAGGCCTTCTTCACTTTCCTTAGTTATGTTCTTATTGATATACATACATACATACACATACATTCATTCATTCCTTGACACGTACATTTCTTTCATTCATTATGTATGTATCAATGAATGTATGCGTATATGTTTAAGTGAATAAATATATATACTGTATATGTATCAATGAATGAACGAATGAATGAATTTATGCCAAGATAAACTCCACCACATCCATATAGAGCTATTATATCCATATTAGCATCATTGGTATAAAACCCAGACAATAATAGTTTAAATCCAGGTATGATAACCACATCACAGTACCTGTGAATTAACCTGTAATGATAACTACACTCTGAGGGTTAATACTCAAGCTGTTCTGATAAATATTTGTTGTCAGGTATGTAGTAGGGAGGCATCAGCACAGAGATTTGACTAACATCAAATATTGAAGTACAGTATGTTTACGTGTTTAAACTCGAGCAACCCACCCAACCTCTCGAGGCCATTGCTCATTAGTCTTAAGTATTAGTTTTACTGTGTTTTTAATGTTACTAAAGTACCTATATTTTGACCCAGTGATTGACTGTCTAAATTGTAGTCCATTAAATGAGCTCAGGTTGCATTTATCCCTTTTTTGCACACATTGAAAGTATAAACTCTGTGCTGAGACCCAATCGGAAAACCTTTTTTTATACCGTTTGATAACATTTCAGAATATGCTTAGAAGAAGGTGACATTAGTAACTTTGTGTGGAGCGAGTCAGCTGGGGATTTGCCCGAGCAAGTGGGATGGACCTCGGCTGCTGCACGCTCTGTATCTCAGTCAGGAGGTAAGTGACAAGGTTTACCTCCATTCTTTGTGGCTCAACTTAGAGGGAAGAAGCAAAATTTACCCTCCACAATTTAGGTGCCACACTTCACATATAGGAGCAAGTCTTTGAAGCAAGATAGGAAATGTTTAAAAAAAATTTGGGTATGTGAGAAAAATAAATATGGCATTAAAAAAGTTGACAATAGTACTACACAACACTATTAAAATTAATTTTTTAAGTTTTAAATAAATAATTCTTCCAAATACTGTATAGGTTGTCAAAGAAATCCTTTTCATACCTAATTTCAGCTAACATTTCCTGAGTTTTGTAAGAGCTCGCTAATTTGGACCCTGTTAGCCCAGATCATTGGGTAATCGGGACAAAATCGAGTCCCAGTGTAAGCTGCAAAACTTCACCAAACTTAAACAGAAATCCGGGTTACTGAGAGTTTTGGCCAGATTGCCAGATTACTGAATGACATCAGGAGACCTATGTTCACCAGAAGTTTTATTAGCTTGCAGTCAAAACTGACCATGCCAATCTGCTCTATGTAAATTTATGTTTATTGCGTGTGGAAATACAAATTATGTTGGTTGTGGTACAAACAAAAATTTGTAAATACTTTCATTTTTGGACTGTCCCAGTAAGAATTCCTACTAATCCGGACGTTCTGCTAACTCGAGGGGTGGGCCCCATATGATCTGGATTAGTGGGTGTTATCAGTGGTTGCTGTGTACTGTACAATAGATATGGATAATACAATTATCTTATATCCACACTACAGTACTTCCATGTATACATTTAGCCCAGCAAGCCAACCAAATTGTGTTCCACCAACAGTCTTTTATTTTTTATATTTCATGACTTAATGTTTTCTTTTCTATCCTTCTATTTGTGTATACTGTCTGATATTTTTGTACAAATTTTCACAAATTTGTTTTTGTCTCAAGCAAATGGCAAACACTTTTCTTGGATTAAAGCCACAACAACATTTTAAATTCTTAAATGCAAAATTTCAAATTATATTTCTAAAGTTTGAAAGTCCTAAATGTGATTGCAGTGTTTGATTTCTCATTGTCGTGGACAGCAATCCTACTAGACTTATCGATGTCCCCTCTAGGCCAATGACTGTTCTCGCCCACATGCAAACAACAACAGATTCCTAATTCTCAGGTACCTATTTACTGCTAGGAAAATATAAGTAAATTGAAAGAAAATGGGCCCAAATGTCTGTCATACAGTGGGAATCAAACCCGGGCCCTTTTGGTTGTGAACCTACTGTGTTTACCACTGAGCAAGGTATCAGACACACATGTTTGTATACACCCAAGATTGGTGTTCAGATTTACATATGTAAGAATAAAGTTTTTAACAATAGAACCCTGATACTGCTGGTGTTTTTGTTTTATAATTTTAGTATGTGTAGAACATGTTAAATTAGTTAAGAGAAATATATAATGGCTATGTTTTACTAATAGGCTTGTACTACAAAACACGAGGCTACACAAGTCGATTACAAACTGTGTGTCGAGAACTCAACTCGAGGTTGACAGCTTTGCTTCAGGATGTTGGACATTTCAATTATGGTAAGGTATTTAAAGCTGTGTGAAAATTGAAATTTTTATTATGCTTCTATAATTCAGTAATAGCTTGAGCAGTTATATTGATTAACATATTCCAATAGGGCTTTTGCACAGTACTTTGAGGTACTGTATTTTTAAAAGGTTGATTGGAATTCTTTTGGCCAACAGAATTAGAGAAAGGAGACTATCTTAGTGTTAACGACAAAAATAGCTCAAGAGAAAGGGAAAAACACAGTGCCATGGAAGATTACAGCTCATTGCTCAGTTTCCTGCAGGATGCCAGTTGTGAAACATTTGTTCTGTAAGTATGAATGAAGAACTTTTTTACTCTTAGCAATTAGTTATGTGATTCTTGTTACAGTCAGTGACTAATAAGTTTTATGAAGGCAGTTACTATAGTGTACTGTGCCAGAAGAAAATGTTTGCTGAAAACAAGATGAATTCTGCATTCTTCCTTTGGTCCAAGTTGGAAAGATTCTAAAGATGATAGTTTCTAACTCCCTCCTATTTCCCAACTCTTTACGTACCGATATATTTTGTTACAGGCTTGTAAAGGAACTGGAAGACCTAGCGCATCGTGATGTCTCTGTTCAAATACCCCAAGTCACTGAAGGCTGGGATGATGATGTGTCTGGTCTGGCTCCAGCTGTGCCCCTAACCATTACTGCAGTAGTGGGCCGCATCTGTCAAGCGCTTCCCAATATTTGTACCCAGATGCAGATTTGTGCCTCAGCATCTAATCTGGTGAATCCAGATGTTGCAAGGGTAGGCTTGGGAAGAGTAACTCGTTAGTATAATAAACTTTCAACAAGCAGTGTGGGTATAGGGAACAGGCCGTTATAATAATAACTTATAATAATAATTATAATATAATACAGTAATGCTATAATAATAATGTTATTATTCAAAGAAATAATAATAATGTTATTATTATAGGCTTGTTAAATATTGATACTAAATATTCACCAGTTAAATTTTGCCTAATATTGAAACACCGTATAGTGTATGCACCAACCACTTGCATTTAATGCTCTGAACATTTTTCCACATTCTTTTATCTAAGGTCTCTTCCCCCTCTGTTTTCCTTTACTCAGTTTTATATATATTTGTTAATCACATTTTTGCTCTTGCCTTGTTTAGATTCACTGTCATTTCTATATTTGTTGTCATTATGCATTCATAATTATACAAGCTTAGAGATGATAGTTGAGTTTGGGGGCATAGTATATTCTTTTTGCAACATAAATATTGATGATCAAGAATGTGTTATTAATGTAGAAATTTTCTGTTTGTAGCGTGTTTCATTGGGATCAAAAATAGAGTCCGAATCTTGGATGAAGGTTCGTTTAGAACTTCAAGAGACCGGTGGCCGTCTGTTTGGCCGTTTCCTTAAATCACTAACATCTACTCTTTACACGGAGTTAAAGATGTACCTCACATCAGAACTTTCATCAGGAGGAGTAGCCGCTTCCATCAAAGCTTTTCCGGTACATTCTATTTTCATGAGCTGAACTGTAGTCAGTTTGAATAGTTTTACACAATGTCATATAAGAAAGTTAATATGATTACAGTAATTTGTTCTGTGTAAAATATTGTGATAAAATAATTATAGGAAATATTATGATAAAATAGCTAATACAGAATTTATTTTTGTAAAAGTCATGGGAGATGGTACAAATTGAAGAGGAAGGTGAAGGTGGCAATGTTGTGAAATCTTCCATCCATGTGCCTGCCCATCCAACCCCAGCCCTCACGCAGGCTCTTGCCCGTCTTTGTTCGTCAGTCAACTCTGTGGGAGCTCATACAATTACCAGGTAATTTTTGAGGCATGGATATACCCTATAGGGAATATAAGGAGGGCCCTTAGTGGATGTTTAGGTCACTCTAGCCATGAAAAAGGCTGTATCAATGTCAGCATCCATCCATTTACTACCAGTGGTGCTTAGCTAGGCTAATCGAAACATGATGTGCACCTTATTAACTGCAAAAGCAGTGCCAGTGTTCATTACCACCCCTAGCTGGAGGGTATTGCTTTTGTCCTACCCATCTGTAACTGTATAGCTCATATATTTATGTACATGGCAGTTTTTCTGACTGACTTCCAGGTTACATTATCATGTAACAAGTTTTGTTTGTTTACATGACACAAAAATGAGCTTGCCTACCCCATGAAACTTGGAAAACAGGATAAGACAAATTTATACTGTAGTATATATATATGTACAGTATGTGCAAAAGCAGTATACAGTATATTGAGTCAGACACATTTTTATAAACTGTTTTGATCAAGTGTACTGCTATTAATGTCCAAGTTATGAACACTTCTTTACCTTTTTATTAACTCTGAAGAAATAGAGGATTTTGTCTTATTTCTAAACTATCTGAAGATAAGAATACTTTTCATTAGGTCTTACATCACTGATACGATATACTGTATTTTGTGTTTTGTTTGCATAATAATTTTTATTTCTCAAACTTTATATGAATTTTAAAATGAAATGCATGAAATTTTAAATTTGAGGTAAAATTTTGTACATTTTTTCAGAAATGCTCAGAGTGAATTAGCCTCAAGTGCTTGTGAAGCTGTAACCTCTGCTTATGAAAGCTCACTCCTTGACCAGGAACAGATAAATCAAACTTTGGCACTACAGCTCATCTTTGATTTGAGATTTGTTCAGATTATTCTTCTGCCACGTGATAATAAGGTAAGGAATTATGTTGCAAGTATATGTTGCAAGTATAAATAGTATAAATTGGGTATTGCAAGTTCACTACGGACAAAGGTTGTCAAGTAAATTCAAGTAAATGTTTGGGTGTCCTTTTTTTTCTTATAAATAAGGATAGCAAATGTTAATATTCACCACAAGGAGGTGGGAGCTCATCTGACTGCCATGGTTCAGGAACTTGAGAAGAAAGTTGATCCATTTGATCTTGATGTGTTTGCACCTCATGTTTCCACCAGAGTGAAGCTGTCTGCACATAGATTACAGGTTAGTTGTGTGATGCTTATTTTACTTTGTATTGGACTTTGATTAAGTTTTCAAGAGCATATTTAAATTAATATTAGACTTGTATCATTTTGTTTAATGCTCATTTCAGTTTGCATTAGATTCAGACTTACTGTGCAGTTCTTATTAAAGTGTATATTAGGCTGTTATTTGTTGCAAAGTTAAGGTCTAAAGGTTGTTCTCATTTTTGTATAGATGCTGTACGTTTGTTAATACTCAAATTGTATGACGGTTGGGACATAACCAATCACAGGCGAGTAGGCCTCTGACGTCATTCCACACAGAGCCGGCACATGCCACCCTCCAAGCAGGCCGCAGTATCTCATGAGACCAGAGTTAGGTAGGACCTCGGCAGGCCACATATATATACCTGGTTACCTTACTCGATAAACTACTGATCCACTGAAGTGATCCACTGTGTATTCTCTACAATCCAGCAACGGCCATACATCCAAAGAAGGTAACGAATACTGGTGGCAGCGGTGGGATTCAAAATAAATTTTCTGAGCTACGAAATCTCAAGTGCCGGCTCTGTGTGGAATGACATCAGAGGCCTACTCGCCTGTGATTGGTTATGTCCCAACCGTCATACAATTTGAGTATTAACACATTCCAACTTGCCTGCTTGAAAATTGTCACCTTTAAAGCGACAATCAGATGACATTCATTACTGTTTAGTCAATCAAGGTGCAGATCAGGTTATTGGGTATATAAATTAGATCAAATGATAAAATTAGTTTTTGTAGATCATATAAAAGTAAATATTACATTAAATTCATTTTGGATATACCTGTACTGCAATTTATCTGTCTTAAGGCAAGAATAATCTAGAAAACTCATTGTTTAATGATGTGTAAGTAACCACAAGGAAAAAGAAGCAAAAAATTTGAGAAGTTTCATGTACAGTATTAACAAATCCTTATGAGGATGTGATACAGCATTTTACATTTTTTTATACATCCTGTATAAACTTTCAGCACAAATAAAATCTTGAAAATGGAAACATTCCTTTTTATGTTAAAATTTAATTTGTATTTAGTCTGGATATTATCCAAAATGATGTTTTCATTACTTCTAAATAGTATAAATAGCAGTGTTTATTTTTAATTTGTTCAACATCAATTTACAAATACTTATCAGCATTTTCTTTACTATACTTTTTTATAGTTAAATAGTGGAATAAAAAGAGGGGGTTTTGTAAAAGTAATTTTTTGTTGGGACTTTTTAGGTAACCACTTTTAATAGATTTGTTAAGTGATAAAATAAAGGTTAGATGGCTCATCGTTTGCTGTCAGCAATTTCCTAATTAAACCTCTGCATGTAAGTGATGAATAACATTTGTAAACAAAAATTACATAACATAGGCTTACATGTAGAGGAAATGAGCTTATGGTATTCAAGTGGTTATAGTTACAAACAAATATATAGTTATGGTATTCAAGTATTCAGTTACAAACAAACACAACTGTGGTGTGCAGGTGGTTCTGGGAGCAGTGTTGTCACGGGATCGCCAGATTACACCAAGTCGCCTTCCAGCTTCATCAGCATCCGGTGGATCAAGCAACAATGCCCTTCCAATTGTCTTGCCTGTAGAAATTCCGAGATTTTCCAATGTACCACTTCCTATTCCTTCCTCAAGACCTTCTATTCCGACCTCCATCTCTAGCCCATCTTTATCACTGGCTGAGAACATTGGTGATGCAACTCCATCAAAACAAGGCTCTTTGAAAGTAAGACTAAATTTTATTTCTATATTTATACAGTATGAAAGTTTTGTTTATATGCTGTACTGCATAGGAAATCTAGCATGCCTTACACTTTTTTACTGAGCTATAATGCTTGGTTGTGCCTAAGATAAGGTATCCACTATATCATAGATTGGGTTCATGTTCAATCTTAAAGAACACCACCTCCGAAGTCATGGGTATCTTCTCAGACATCCTTGCAGGGTCATTAAAGAGGCTAGGGAGAAAAGCTGTCCAACCCAGAATGACTGCAAGAGGTTCATTTATAAATACTCAAATATTCTACCATTCTACATCACAGATAATTGCATTTACATGTATTTTTATTTTTATTATTTTCTTGCATTCATTACTGTATGATACTGATGCTAGCCTTAGGATGTAACTTGTGTAAGCTCAAAAATTATCATCACATATGTCTTGGGTGAATTTCATGATATGCCAGGGTGTCTGACAGGATGTTTGGGTTTGCAAACTTTCATTAATGAAATGCTCTGAAAGTGGTTATGCTACCACCATCCACAACTTGAGGCCAGATATGACAAAACATTCAAATGTCAGGAGGGTTAAATTAAAGTAGTTAGACCTCACTTTGCCATAGTCACTGTTAAGTAAGGTGCAGTATGGGAGGGTAGAAATAGCTTAAGCTACGCTATTCCTTTGAGATGTATTTTATTGTCTCAATAAACGTACTTGTAGTTGCAGTGCTGCCACCTGGTGATGGGTGACTGGTTAACATGGCAGGTGTAATTGCAATTAGTGAACCCTTACTTTGAGGTCACTTGTGATAAAAAAGGAAGATTAATTAGGGCTTTTGAGTGTGAATGATCTGGGTGATTTGGTCATTCTGGGCTGGACTTGAGCTTTTTCGAGATTCCTCCCAAGCCTTTTTAATGACTCTGCAGACATATTGAAAAGATTGCTACAGTGTCTTCTTGTCTGAGGTAAATGTTTACATTAGGAAGCAACCAAGCAGGACACTCAGAAAGGTGCTTTTCATATTGACTCTGAGTCTTATTTTTACTTGAGATATCTATAATATATCTTTAAAGTGAAACAGGTTTATTTGAATTTTCTGTATCTTTCTTTGTCAGTATCTGTAAATAAGGGCACTCATTTATATCAGTGTTCCAGCACATGTATGTTGTCTCCAAAGAGAAGTAAACTTGAGTATATTATCATTTTGCTTGTGGCATGAAATTAAGAATGCTGAAATGGCTTTTAATTAATTGTCTTTCACACATACACAAACACACACAGTTTGCCATGATACAAGGAGCTTTGTGGGAATGAACTACATAATAAATTAATGCCTTTTGTGATACTTTAAGGATAGATATATGGTATGTGGTGCCCCATTGAGCCAGCCCAGTTCTGCATCACAATAGGTAGTTGATCTGAATAGCAGGTAATAAGTAGTTGTAAATGTAAACATGCATCAGAGTGTGATGATACAGACCAGAGTTAGGTAGGACCTCGTGTATTCATTATATGAGTTACACTACAGTATATAGTATCACATATAGACAAGCACCACCACATTTCACAAGTCATCCACGGCAGCACTTCTTAAGACCAGGTACACAGTGCTGCTCATAAATTCTTGTATACAGTATAGTTCAACACAAATACAATTTGTCTTTGGCTCTTCTGTCTTGCACTCTACCCACACCAGCAAAACCAATTAGTTCTTTTAATTTGTACTTCTTTCATTAGTTCCACCAATAGACTTAAAAGGCTCTCACCACCTGCTTGCAATTTGTTTTCCATTAATCAGCATTATCTCATGTTTGTTTTATATTTGTGTTGGCTTTTCCACCAGTCTTCTCATTGCATCTTTTGTTTGTAGTTACATTTTTGGTAAGGTTAACATTGATTAGATCAGTCATAATGTTTAAAATAATTACCATTAAAGGAGTCTTTTACTAACATATTTATATTGCAGGTGTTTTATCAATGTCATGTTTAGAGGAAAAATGTTGCTTGTAGTAGTGGATATTTTCTTTAAGAAGTCTTTTTGTTGTTGTTGAAGGATATTAAAACAATTTTTTCCTTACACAGTTCATTTTGTACCATTGATAATTGATTATTTAAAAAAATTATCTTGTTGATGACCAGTTTTTTGTTTTACATTGTTCGATAATTATTAATATAGTACTGAACTATCAGAATGTTGTGATAACCATTTATTATTTGCATGTTCATTCTCAATTAACAAGTTGTCATATAAAGCGTCATTGCTTGTTGAAATTTATTTACCTTACATTGTTATACTGTACATCCCAATAAACTAAGAAGCTCACTCAAATTATTTGTACAATTTCATAAGCTCATGAAAGCTCATTTTTATTAAGCAAAATTTAGTAACATGAAATTAGAGAAAGTGATTGTCTCCTACACCACTGATAATACTTATTATACTCTTTCCTTGTTAGACCTCACATGCTCAGAGTAGCCCATTGACATCACGAAGAGAGACGTCATCAGCAGCACTCTCAGCTTCCCGTAGTGCTGCCTCACTCTTCTCGGCAATGAGCTCATCTTGGTTTGGCTCATCTTCATCTTCATCGACATAACTGTGCCTACCAAACCAGTTTGAGGGTATTTTATTTTACAGATATTCATCCAAAATCTGAAAGTTTATGGGACAAGAAAGGCAAGTAAGATCTTGAAAACATATTTCCTGCAATTCAATTTCTTTTCACTGTAATTTAATGTACATATATACATACATACAGTATATACTGTACTGTATTGGCACTTGTGTATAATAAATTGTCAGTGACAATAAAAATGCATGATTTTTTAATATTATATAAATGTAAATTACATGACTATAATAGTCACATGTTTTCTGGACCAAACCTGGATGAATTATCTGTTGTGTCCGGAAAAGTGGTTCGCCATTCTGGAAAACTCAAGAAATTTTGTTTACAATTATCTTTATTTTACTCACCAGTATGAAAAGCTATGATCCACTTAAAAAAATTAAGAATATTGTTGAAGCTCCTGAGCCATCCACTAGTATACAATGCTCAGAAATTTTCAGTAATGTGAAAATCCCTGGCTTTTTCATGAGCAGACAGCTTTCCACAAGCTTTTTCATCTCAAGCTTCTGCCTGTAACACTCCCATACTGTATTTTAGCTTTGCCTGTTGCCTTTCTATTATATATTGATTTATCACTTTCACTTCAAGAAAAAATAGTCAAAATCTTGGTCACTTGGGTCTCAGTGCACATAACACATTTTGGGATGCCACACACACTAGCTTCTTTACTCATTGTGTTTTCTTCTCAAAAGTCGTATTTAATTGCTTTCTCATAGGTTTCCCGCTTGTAGAAACCATCACCAACAAATTACTTTACCAGCATTTGTAACTGACATGGTGCACAGATGTTCATTGATTTTGCCAATACTAGTACTGTACAGTTTATCCAGGAAAATTATTGAAAGAACACTCCAGTACTGTACCACAAGCAAGTGAAAAGATAGGACACCAAAACCATCAGTGGTTTCAAGGCATCATATGACAGTACTGTACTGTCAGTTAATTACACTCAGGACGACAGCTATAATCATGGTGTCCTGTCTTCCTATAATAATTTGAATTATTATTTAAATTATTACTGGGAAGACAGGACACCATGATTATAGCTGTCGTTTTGAGTGTAATTAACACCTAGTTACACTTGGGTAATTACAAGTCAAAACAAATGTTGTGAAGCCTCACTGCACATTTTATTTGGACTGCTTGCTAAACAACTTTATTCAGTCTCAAAAATTAGAAATTGGCAAATCTGGATTAGTTGTGTTTGATGAGCACATGGCTGACTTTGTACGGAAATGTTATGCCTTTATATTCTGTAATCCATTAGTAAATTTGATACTATTTTCACATATTTCCAGTTTTAACTATGGTAAGTATTTTGTTTAAGGAACTACTTTAGGACTATGATATGCAAGTTTAATATGAGATATTTTAATTCAAAATTAAATATTAATGAAGTAATGGGCATTTAAGTCTTCCAGCTGAATTTTGTTACATTGTAGTTAGTACTTTTTTTTTTCCTTAAAAATGCTGACTATGAAATATATAATTTTATTCATCAGATTTTTATTCATCAAAGATTAATTTCCTTACTGGTTCTCTTGCAAAAAATTTATTGAAAGCAGTATCTTATTAAATAATAAAACTTGTTTGGCTGGACAATAATGCAACTGTATTAACTAAATACAGTGAACAATTATTTTTAAAGATGGGCAAGTCCCTTTACTTTGACAGTTATAAAGAACAATAACAAACTTCATGTTCTCTGCATCTTTGCCAAATTTATGGTTAAGTCTTGATATTGTCATTAGGGTATTTTGCACAAGTTACATGGTGGTGGTGTCAACATTAACGTGTTTAAATATGTTTTATTATGATTACTTGGTACTGTTAACTTTTACTGTTATTAGACTTATCAATATAAAATAAATTTTCACGTTTTGCCATTGCTGTTCATACAAGATCCTAATGTAGAGATAATATTTAAAGGTTCGTAATAAAAATGTAAACAAAAACTGTATTTAAGAATAGTAATTTCACAAGGAATGAAGTTTGTATAGTGAGGTGCATCATTTGGAGTTGGGTTTTTCAATAAATAAATATAAGGATAAGCAGCTACCAAGACTATTTATAGGAAGGGAAATGTTGAAGAAAACAAGCTGATCAATAAATGTTTTCTTAGGAATGTATAAACACTACATAAAAGAATTTTAAAACAGTGCATATAATTCTTTCCTAAAGTTAATGCAGTTATTGCTGTAAAATTTATGCAGGTATTCCATAAACAATATTTCTGATGTAACTACATTAACCATTGCACCAACACTAGCACAAGAACACCTTACCATTATAAAGAAAATAGATACTAGCTGTCTCTTTTTCTTAACAGCACTATATCACTACAACCAGTTTTATAACATTTACAATTTACTCACATTAAAATGTTATGCTGTATGCAATGAAAATGGCACGATATAACCCCTCTTCACTATGAAAAAAAGGTTTTATGATTAAGTTTGTGCTACTTCTCTCACTTTATAAGGAACAGCAGTTGCCTAATTAACCTATTCGCCTTGATATTGTGATTGTTGTTGAAACAAATCTGCAGCATTTCTAACATTATGCCAGTTGCTATATAACAATGTATCTTGCAACTGCAGTATTGGACTTTAATATAGAAAATGAACATTATACCAAAGTTGTTGGCACCCCAAAATTATAATTTTCTTGAATGTAATTGAGCCACAATGGACAAATTTCCATTATCTCAATATACAGCAATATCAAAATTGGCTATGCAAGATACTAACCCTGCTTATGTTCATGTGCCTCTGGACACTTACTGGAATCAAAATATGTGCTCGACCAACTGTCATGTGAAAGCAGTCAAAATTTTAACAAGTATATACTGGAATGTGCATCTTGATTATGGCTTTGAAGTGACACCTTGGATATCATCTATGGTACTATATACATGAAGGGCACTTAAAATAGTAAGTATGAGGGATAAAATTATTCTTAACCCTAAGAATTATTCCTAACAAATTAATTAATATTTCTCTCCTTATACTGTCTGCCAAAAGATAGCTTGAGAAATTCTCTGGATATAACTGTAATCAAATCACCAATCTACCTCATATCATAGATATAACTTGTGCTCAATTCAATCATACAAACTTTTTATAAGACTTTTGTTCCCTTATAACTCAAAATGTATAAAAAAAAGAACAAATTTGAACTAAAATATAAGAAGTAAAAATGTTTAGGAATTACTTAACATATACAGTTGCCCAAGTTATATTTAAAATCAATTCTTCCTTATTGTAAGCTATAAAAACTAAAACACTTCATATTTATGCAAGACATTAAACAAAACGTATTTTAGAAATTTCATTTCATTAAAATAAGTTAAAACCTTTTAATATTAAATAGTGTCATTTTCCTTTTTGAACTTTCAAGTTGATGAAATTGATCAATGTTGAACTAGAAGAAATTATAGATGTCCTCTTACTTATTTGTAACATTAATTAAATGAGTTCATATAGTGGTGTTAGATTCTGGTAAGCTACCAATGCTATCAGGAGAATCACAAAGGCTATCAACCAAGTCTTCCATGGAAACTGTAAAGAAAATACAATTTAATAGTAAACTGAGTGTAAACATTGAGACAATACTATGCTAAACATTTGTTTTTACATGTTATATTTTTGTAGCTAATCCGTAGTCACTCGAATACCCATAGGAACCTGCATTCACTCTTGCTGTGAACTAGTGTTTTCTGCATGCCAGGAGCATGAGAGTATGGAATCCTGTATATTTTTACTACACAGTACTGTTTTACTTATTACTGTGTTGGCATGCAAGGTGTAGTCAACAGTCTAAGAAAAGCTTTTGCCATAATACAAGACATGGTAACAAATTCTAAAATACTTACACTTTTAATAACTGGATACCGTCTATCAGACTGTGTTATGTCCTTTTTCAAGCCTAACATACGTCTGTACAATGACTTCTCAGATTCGGCCTCAATTCGTGCTTTCTCCCGCATCTTTGCCAATTCTTGGTGAATGAGACGTGACTCTGGTTCAAGCTCAAGGGCCAACTTCAGTAAGGTGACCGATTCTTTCATTTTCCCCTGAATGCCTAGTACCTACCACAAAACATTGAAAATCACTGAAATTGTTACAGAAATAGTATAAGAAAATAAAGCTATCAACAGCAATAACAACAGATTTTTAAATTATATTTTGTCATTTAAGAAACTTGGGCTTACCTTTCCTTTCCTGAAGAGTGCCTTTACATTGCTAGGTTGGCACTTTAAAACTGTATCCAAAGATTTCACTGCCATATCATATGCTTCAATTTTAATTTGTGCTGCTCCCATATTATTTAGGGCCTTCAGTCTTTCTGCCAATATTTCCCTCACCTCTGGTCTGATGTCATCCTGTGTCAGGAATTAGTTTATAAAAAGTTTGACAAATATATTCTCAACCAATATTTATAAAATAAAATGTCCATCTATTCATTTTCATTAAATCATTTCCCACTTTCATGAGGCAGGTAGATATCAGCTAGAAAAAAATGAATAGTAGTATAAATAACTGTTTAATATAACAATATTAAAAAAATAAAAATACCACTCTATTAAATATACACACTACAGTATATAGCATCATGGATAAAGAAGCACAAGAAAATCTTGTGTGTGACCAAAGGGACTGTGGGCAAAGATGGTATCCTTACCCCATACTCCTCCTCAGCATCATCAAGGAAGTCTATAGCTGCACTGTAACACTGTATGGCCATGGAATACTCCTCCCTGTTGAACCACCAATTTCCCCGTTCACGTTTACGGTTCCTGAAAACATTCGACAAACTGAACTTTTCCTGCTATAATATTAACAAAAGCAACTTGTAAAATGATTTAGTTTCAACTTAGTGAATGTCATACAAAATACATCATAATTGTTTATATACAATATATTTACCTCTTTGTATTTTAATATTGTATACAATATTATATCTTTGCTACATAGTCTCAAATATGCTCTCCTGCATAGTCTAATACCATAAATGAAATATGTTTACTTTAAAATTATAGGAGCATACTAATTGTATAAAATTACAGTAATTAAAATAATAAATTAGAACATTTTAAATTTATTTCAGAATAATAAGGCAATCTCTTGTGGTCTAGGAGGTAACCATAAAATTAATGATTAACAAACTTATAAATTTAACCATTTCATTAAAAATATAATTAATTTTAATTGCTGTGTAAAACTTGATAGCATAAAAAGAGTAAAAAATTCTTCACTACTTCCACAGTATATCATTACAATGTACAAAATCATGTAAATACTTTAACATCACAAATTTAATTACAATTGAATGGATTATTTTCAACTTACCCAATGACCATGCGCTCAGTGATAGATAATGAGCAAGGCTCCTGTTCTGGTGCATAGTCCAAGAGTTCAACCTGATAAATTATATTGCTGTCTGGTGGGATGTTTGGAGGAAGACCCTTGCTGCCATATCCAAACCTAATCAAATTTTAACATAAATATTATGTGTGTTTACTCACTCATGTACAGTTGTGTGCGTGTGTATATATATATGTATTCATGAATGTTAGTATCATATTTGTGGTAAATATAGAACTGTGCTTGCAAGGTTTTTATTATTATTTTCATAAATATTCTAAAGTTTCTAGTGGTATTGGCTTGCTCATGGAGCCTAAAAGCTACAACTTTATTCCAAAAGGCTCAGAGTCACTAGGTTCAAAGTCAGGCTCACTAGGCTGTCCTGTCTTTCAAATAATCTTTGTCATCTGACACTCTGAAACTGCTTATCATTTTATCATTTATCTACGCTGTTCTCACTTATTGAATCATTTATATTTAAAGCATCATATAATTCTTTGAAACAATTGATGGTTTTGAACTCCACCACCTCACTTAACCTGTTCCAATCGTCTACCACTCAGCAAAAGTGAACTTTCTAGTGTTTTTTTTAGCAACTGTTCCCTTAGCTTAAATCTATGACCTCTTCTTGTTCTTGAAGTTCCAGGTTTCAAGAATTTTTCTTTATAAATTTTGTCGACTCTCATTACTATTTTGTACATAGTGATCATATCACCCCTTTCTTTTATCTTCTTGCTTTGGCACATTTAACACCTCTAGCCTATTTTCGTAGCTCATCTTTAATTCTGGAAGCATTTTGTTGCATATCTTTGCACCTTTTCCCATTTGTTGATGTGCTTCTTGAGATACGGACACTACACAACCATTGCACATTCCAATTTTGGTCTCACAAAGATAGATCACAATTTTTTTTTTAATATTCTGCCGTCTATTGGAGACCATAGCATTGGCTCCTCTCACAATGTTCTTTATATAGTTCTCAGGTGACAGTTTTCTATCCAAAAACACCCATAGACCTCTTTATCAGAGTTCTCTAAATCTTTTTCACATAATTTTTAAGTTGTGTGTGGTCTATTTTCTTTTATTCCACATATCTATAACATGGCATTTATTCACATTAAATTCTTTTTGCCGAGTGTTGCTCAATATGGTTATTTTCTTCAGGCCATCTTGAAGGGCATGCATTTGTGTGTGTAAATCACAAAACCTATTAGGTTTTCTCTGAGGTCCCAAAAGGCCAATGACTGACCATCAGGATGCAACACACAATTGGCTAGTTCCCAGCCACATATGTACTACTAGGTGAACAAAGGCATCAGGTGCAAAGAAAAGTGCTGAAACATCTTGTCTTTAGCAGAAGTTGAACCCAGGATTTCCCAGTTGTGAACTTACTGGTTTGACCACTGTTTCCATATTATTGTTAATATTGTAAGCTCACATTATCAATACTTTTCTGGGAATAAATAATTCCTTTATTTCAACAGTATGGTAAGCATGACAAATTTCAAGCTTTTCCCTAATGAAATCCAATGACTATGACTTCATAAAAAAAAAGCTTTAACAGTTAAGAGCTGATTTGAACAAAAATAGTTTTATCTTGTCCTGATGCCTCTCCACTCCTTGAAGATCGGTAAAGGTTGTCATTACACTTCCTGAATTTATAGTTTTCTCTGCAAATTGGGTATATTTTCTTTACTATTACAATCTCATCAAATGATCTGTAATAAGCAAATGCCTTAAAAAAAAAAATGGTTTTCATGATGAAAAACACTCAAATATGAATCATCTCTTAATGTGTGTAAATACTATTCAGTCTCAGGCATCTTGAATAATCAAAACATGCTAAGATGAACTAGTATGTGTCTAGAGTACTTCTATGCAAGTCTAATAATTCACAACTAGACTGTAGCTATGAAGCTAGTAAAATAAGGAAAGAACATTAGTACAATACCGAAAATGGGAAACTAACAGATGTAAGTGAAAGTTAAAGCTGACAATAAATAGGTTGTCATGTAAAAGTATAAAATGCAATAATACCATGACATAATGCAAGATGGATTTAATAACATTTTCAATTAAATGCAATGCCTATTGCTATATTAATATATAGATCTAAGGAATTCCTCCTTACCTGGATGCTATGTACACAAGTGCAATTTCACCTTTATCCATTAGTGGTGCAATCATATCCAAACCCACAATCACCTACAATATAAATATGAAATGAGAATTTAATGTAAAATCAATTGGAAATTTTTACAAAAATACAATATTTTGTACCAATTTATGCTATAATATTAGCATCAAGTCTTATGGCCAATCTCAAAATGCCTATATGCCAGTGTTAATAATTAGAATGTATTTTAAATATAATATTTAGGCTAACCTCACTATCTCCAATTGTAAATGTCAGCTGCTCGCGTTTGTCTACCTCCATACCATTCTCTAGCTTCCCGTACGCATTCATCACAACGGTATGTCCCTTAAATGGCCGTGATTCCACAATTCCAGCTTTGATTACCTGAAAACACCAACAGACTATTTTATTTATGATCCTCCATGACTGCTTATCCAGGAAAGTCCATCACAATATTTTCATAACACAATACTATGCAAATTTGGTGTAGTACTGAGGAAATTTGGTACGAGGAAAAATGGCTTCATATATGGTAGCATTCATGAACACAAAGTGTACATAATGTACATAATGAGATCACAATAACGTGATATATCTTTGAGAAAATCTTTGGAGCAGGGCAGTGGAATCAAACCAACGTCCTGGGTCACCCCAGATGCATGCCTTACCTATGAACCATAAAATGCTTAAGTAACACTATCAAAGATTTTTGTAGATGTGTTTGGTGGAAAACCCCACCACAGTGAATTAGGTGGACTCCATGGTGTGTTGTTACTTTTAGCATATCATAGTCCTGGGGTACGGCATGTGTCTGGGGTGACCCCAGGAAGCTGGGTTGATTAAACGAACCTTTCTCCAAAGATTTTCTTATATACTAACAGTATTATATATATATATGTATACATACACACACATATATACATACACAATACTATATGCATATTCATATTCATGAACATTTAAAAGCAGTTAATAAAAACACAATAGCTTCAATGTTTTATTTGAAACATAGAATAGATTAATTCAGAAGAAAACCTAAAGACGATTGAAAGAATAAGGGAGAAGGGTACATAGGCTAATAAATCTGCAGAGTTGTGATATATCTGCAGTGCCTGGAATGTGAGAGATAAGTAGTACATAAGCAGTTAGAAATGAAACAAGAAATCACTTAATTGGCTTTTGACTTTTTCTGCATTATAAGGAGAAGTATTGTTATGATCTTAAACATTTCAAGGATAAGATTAAAACCGAATATCCTTCTAAATATATAGGTTATTCAATACTATAATCTTAAGTTAAGGAGGAAAAAAGCATTTTTAAATCTGTTTTTTTTTTTACATAGACCTACCTTTTTCTTGAGGTCTCCACTACCTAGAACATCAAGCCATCCATCATCTGGAATATCTGTTTTGCCTTCAAGTTCAACATTCACCTCTTCCACCTTCTCTACCTTCATCTCCTTAGTCTGGTCTACTTCAGGCATCTTTCCTCTGGCTGTTGGGGAAAATATTTATTAAAGCACAATTAATTAGTAATCTAAGTTGAGTTATATTACATCTTTAGAAAGAGCGAATAATTCTAGGAAGAGTAATGGTTGACAATATAGACTATTATGGTAGAAATTAGGGTCATCCTAGAGGTTTTCCAGCACTACAGTAATCGATATGCCTAGCCTTTGCTTTTTTAATAACATTTTGTTTACAATTGACAAAATCAAATTTAATGATTTTGTCAGCAAAAAAGTAATTTACAAATAAAAAAAAAAAAAAAATATTAACCCAAATAATTTAATGCTCAATCTCATTCGTGAGAAACCAACTCTTTAGCATACAATACTATTTCACATTTTAAGTAAATATATAAATATTTAAAATAATTTTTCCTCAAACACTATCAAAGATAAAATAAATTTGATTTTGGAAACTTTTCCAAGTTTATGTACTATGGTGATCTGTCATGAGCAATGATCCATTACACCTGAAAAGTTTTACTCCGGGGATTTTCTCACTGATACATCATGTTAATGTGATTTCTTTATGCATTTCAAGAGAAACGTTGAGTAAAACCCCGATGTGGGATCAGTAGATGCCTCAGAAACCTTTGAGGATTCAGTTCAATCCCAGATTATATTACTTTTTCAGCATATCGTGGCCTAGTGGTTTGGGAAGTGTGTATATAATACTGTGTATAATAATATATAATACTGTATATAATTTTGGCTTTATATATATTATATATATTATACTGTATATATATATTTTATATATATATATATTATATAGATATATATATTATATATATCTGTCCATCAGGATTCGGGTAATTGCTGAGAAACAGTGGACTAGTGCACCATGCTATGGACTAACAGGCCTATGGTATACCATTATTGAAAGCAGAAAGCCTGTTTAGGCTTACTGAGGTCCCCAGTGAGGCTGTCTGTGCAGTCACTGATCCAGATTCAATGAATATAAACAACCGTTTGCCCAAGTTTGTTCACAATGGATTTTAATACCTACCTAATCTCACCCACTCAACTCTACCAATTTAACCTAACTTAAATAAGCCTAACACAGCTGGGGTACAGCCAAATCATACACAAGACAATTCAACAAAGCTTGTTTTTATATTCGTTAAAACTACAGATTGTTAGGCTAAGCTGAAGCTATAGGTTAGGCTCAGTTAGGTTATAGATTGATTAGTTAGGTTATTTAGTTTTACCTGAATTTACCTAAGGGCTACTGACACTCGAGTGGCCGGGTTGGGTTGGTCTTCAAACCCGTTAGTGTACTATCTTGTGTAGGATGCGACTTGTAACCATAGATCCCAACCTAACGATATATAAGCTTCCGAGAATAGAAAACGAGCTTTATCGAACCATTTTGTGTACGCCTCGATGAGACGCTCCTTAACCTGCGCCTAACTATATAGTTTGAATATATCAACAAAACAACAAATAATATACCTAAGTTAGTGTGTTATTGAGTAAGACTTGAACAAATCTTTCCTGTTGTTGCTTGCCGCTGTCCAGCGGGTGAAAGGATGGATGATAGTGTTCGAGAAGCGTCTCGGGTCAACCACCGTGTTGACATCCATCAGCTGGCTGCCAGTCGTCCCAACCCTCACTCTGGCTCGGGCTTAGTCACACCTCGCACCCACATCCTAATGAATAATAATCACTTTAGTGAAGACGGATTGCACATCTATATGTTTACCATTTCGGACACAAAATTTGTACTCTTCGTATGTTTATATGATTGTTCAATATTAAAACCACAATATAATGCTAATAACAGTTAAAATTTTCTACTTATTAACAGGCATATAGTTATTAAAATGAAATTCAGTGATGTGGTGGACATAATCTGTGCTTCATAAGAACAACGCCCGCCAGAATTAACACGACACATCTGAAGGCCCACAAACATGATCGAACGCATAAAACACTGCACTGTGGCCAGTTTTGGGGTAAACTCCTGTTACCTTTACCATGGGATAGTTATACTTGTATATAATATGTATTAAAGGAAAAAGCCTAACAAGTAATATTAACTAATAAAAGCAAAGTCAGAAGCCACACGGCCTGCCTCCACGTGTCTTTTGAGTTAAGGTATTTGGATGCACTTGTATTTGTGATATCTCTCTCTCACTCGCTCTCTCTCGCTCGCTCTCTCTCTCTCGCTCGCTCTCTCTCTCGCTCGCTCTCTCTCTCTCTCTCTCTCTCTCTCTCTCTCTCTCTCTCTCTCTCTCTCTCTCTCTCTCTCTCTCTCTCTCTCTCTCTCTCTCTCTCTCTCTCTCTCTCTCTCTCTCTCTCTCTCTCTCTCTCTCTCTCTCTCTCTCTCTCTCTCTCTCTCTCTCTCTCTCTCTCTCTCTCTCTCTCTCTCTCTCTCTCTCTCTCTCTCTCTCTCTGGTAAGGACGAGGCTGCTCAGCAGGTGCTGGGAGAAGTGGGCACGAGGCTGCTCAGCAGGTATTGAGAGTGTCACTATAATGTGATGATTGTTATTTGTGGTATTTGTTCAAAAATTATTTGTTTAAACGCACTGTACTGTATAATACATACATGCATTCATACAGTAAAAATAAAGAATTGGAAAATGAATATTCATTTTCACTTTTGCTGGAATTGCATATGCTAACCAAATTAACTTGCTGCACTAAATAAAGGACGTGGCCTATTTACCATTTATAATTATTCTTAGACACCCAGAAAAGGACAAATTAACATCCTGCTTGAGGTGTTGCAGGACGGAAGACAGTGCTCCAAAGCAGGACTGTTCTGCCTAAAGCAGAACTGCTGAGCTAATAGGTCTGTTCAGACGTCAACAGGTCGCACTGCAGCAGCCTGTAGAATATACAAAGTCAACATATGTACACAGACCACAAGTGTGAGACTGATTAATAACTGGCTTAGCTCCACACATACAGAATTAGCACTGCAACTTGCGAACTGTATCAACAAAATTATTTGCACACCCTCCGTCAAGATATGATGGAGTGCGAAAAGATACATGAATTCAGATACAATTCTATAACAAATTAAATGTTCAAGATTAAGAATTAATGTTCAATGTTCAATAATGAATGTTCAATGTTCAAGAATTAATGTTTTATGTTCAAGAATTATTGTTTAATGTTCAAGAATTTACGTTCAGTGTTCAAGAATTAATGTTCAATGTCCAAGAATTAATATTCAATGTTCAAGAATTAATGTTCAATGCTCAAGAATTAATGTTCTATGTTCAGGAATTAATGTTCAATGTTCAAGAATTTACGTTCAATGTTCAAGAATTAATGTTCAATGTTCAAGAATTAGTGTTTAAGAATCAATGTTCAAGAATTAATGTTCAATGTTCAAGAATTAATGTTCAATGTTCAAGAATTAATGTTCAATGTTCAAGAATTAATGTTCAATGTTCAAGAATTAATGTTCAATGTTCAAGAATTAATGTTCAAGAATTTACGTTCAATGTCCAAGAATTAATATTCAATGTCCAAGAATTAATATTCAATGTCCAAGAATTAATATTCAATGTTCAAGAATTAACGTTCAATGCTCAATAATTGAATGTTTAAGAGATGTGTAAATATTTAATTCAAAATGATGTGTTACCAGAAATTTTAGCAAAATATCTCCGGTTTGCTAACTGTAGGTAGTAAATGAGTGATTGAAACCTATCCACCGCTACCCATTGGAAGGGAGGAGGGGGGGGGGGCGGTGGGCGGGATAAACATATCAATTGTGTCACTAGCTCTCCACATATGTCAGTAGCTTAATTTAGAAACTGTACTTGTGGTCGGTTTTGAGTCCATTGTTGATGTGAAGATGTGTACTGAATTTTGTAACTAGCTTATCAAAACTGTAACTTGCTTAGCTAAATGAATTTTGGGGTTCAGTTCCTGAGCCCATTATGTGCCTCTGTAACCCTTTCCACTTTCCACAGGATGGGTATGAGGTGCATAATAAATGAACTAAACTAACAAATAAAGTAGTACAAACTGTACGCTAAGTACAAGTCAGCCTTCATTATATTACACGCTGATTTTAATGTAGACATGTTGAAGTGATTATCATAATAAAATATGTTAAGGCAGGAAAACTTTTTATTCATTAAATTGTATAAGCAAAAATTAAAAGACCCTAATTTAAATGTTATTTGAAGACATGCGCTAATTATATGATCATGTTCCACCTATTTATTCATATTTTTAACTTATTATCAATTTCCATTGCGTCGTTTTTTATCATTTTATTGTCTTGGAAGACGAGAACAGCAGCGAACACAAGCCAACGCATATATATATATATATATATATATATATATATATATATATATATATATATATATATATATATATATATATATATATATATAATAATAATAATAATAATAATAATAATAATAATAATAATAATTTTTATTTAGGCAAAGGTACATACATAAAGAGATTTTACAAAGTTTGTTGGCTTTATAGATAGAGCTAGTACATACAATGCCTTAAGCCACTATTACGCAAAGCGTTTCGGGCAGGAAAAAACACTACTGACTAAAGCTTAAAACTAATGGGTAAAAAGAAAAAAATGCGTTGAGTACAAATAAAAATAGAGGTAAAAGAGGGGGGAACATTGTTGAAAAAACAGCACAAATACAATTACAAATTATTACAGAAAATTACATTAAAACAGCGTTGATTTGAAAAAAAAAAAACATACATGGGTTGACAATAGAGGGGTAAGGTAGGTTACAGGGAATTTATTAGGTATAGCTTCGTTTTTAACTTAAACTGGTTGAGAGAGGTACTGTCTAATATATATATATATATATATATATATATATATATATATATATATATATATATATATATATATATATATATATATATATATATATATATATATATATACGAAAGGGTTCGTACATTAAAAAAAATTATAGCGAACGAACTGGCTTTTTGTGTACCGAACCGACGTTATTCGAAATGGTTATGTGCGAATCGACCAGTCATCATCCTAAGTAGCTTATTAGTAAATAAGCAAGTGTAAGAACATGTAATGTTAAATTATTATTTTTGCACATTGGAGGTGGAGTAGGTCGGTTACTTATTGCAAGAATGTTCACCGTAAATTTGCACTGTAACCAGCTAAAACAGGACCTTGAAGTGATTAAAATTTACTGATTAGGAATATTTAAGATGATAAATTATGGCTCGGTCTAAGTTCAAGTCTTTACTCGTTTATATTTTATCTTATCTCCAGTGTTATCTTCCAGGATCAAGCGTTGTTCTCTCTATGCCTGCGTAATAATTCAAATTAAAATGTTTATTCAGGTAAAAGTACATACATAGATGAGTTACAAACATAATGTTGGATTTATAGATCCAACATAAATTTATAGATTTATGAATAGGGAGCATTACTACCCCACACATGCAGTGGGGTCGCTTAATAATTTGTGGTGGCTGCAAATTAATCATTATAAATTATAGCCGTTTCGTTAGAATATAAAATAAGGATTTTTTTTTTACAGGGCAAGGTGGCATAGTTGTATAAATTTAGCACTGGAAATTCGTTCAATATCTGTAATTTCCATGTTCAGTTATATGTATTTTGTAATATTAATAAGCTAGGTACACAACTGTGTGTTCAACCCGTACTCAGATCAGGCTAGTTGGAGCGGCGGCCGTCACCCGCACCAGACGCATTCATTAATTTTTACATGCTGTGCATTAATAACTGGTTTGTTTTCATATATATGTTAATGTTATTATATATTAAATTTCTATGTATCGTTAGGTGTAGGTTAGGTTAAGTTAAATGTTTAGGTTCTGTTGGCGATTATTTGTTTTTGAAGTATATTTGGGTGAAGCATTTACAGAGTTGCGGTTCGAACAGAGGTCATCTACAAAGCACTCGTCGGTAAATATTTGAACATCATTAGTTATGAGTCGTGTGTAAACCGTTTTGTATTCATAAACGGGGTTTGGCGACTGTGTTAACGGGCATTTGGTATTTGTTTATGTGGATTGTCTGTGTAAGGTAAAGCAGGTATAGAAGAAGTGCGATTCGAATAGAGGTCGCGTGGAAGGAATGTTCGAACGAGGGGGTATATTGCAGCAACCTGTCTTTAGGCTAATCTCATCCGGCAGCCGCGCCCAGGCTGCGGCGATTTCAAACACGCATTCATAAATTTTAACGTACTGTACTGTGTATTCAAAGTCGGTATTTGCTCATATTAAATTAACATTATTATGTACTGTATTATAATTTGGTGTATAGTTGAGTCTAAATTAGGTTAGGTTAGGTGTTTAGGTTCTGTTGGCATTTATTTGCGTTTGCTGTACATAGGTGAAGCATTAGAGGTGTTATTCGAACAGACGAACTGTTCGATTGTTATCAGTTGTATGATAACGTCCGAACTGGTTCTGTCACTGTTCTGTTATTGTAATATTTTATTTACTAACCCTTGAATACGTTAACTTTATAGACAAAGTCGTCTCTTAACAATATAGCCTCAAATACAAGGAAATCACAATAACATTTTTCCAGGTCAAGTTTTAACTTGGAAAATGCTTAACATTTTATTTGAAGCTTAAAAATCGAATTAAATGATCAAATTTAAACTAATGATCAAGCGTTGGAATTTTGAAATAATCCGGCAGTGT